ACATCAGAGCATGGTTACGACTTGTTAGGAAGAAGATAATATGAACTTCTTAATTTCTAATATTTAATGAAATTTAAATTACTTGTTATTTTGTTGTTTTAATTATGCTGGTCAGATTTTTCCATTCCCTATACTACTTCCATTATTTTTTTTGTAAATTCTTGAAAAGTAGAAAAAACTAGATTATAACGATTAATTAGTGAAAATATTAGACAGGGAATAATAATATATTTAAGAACCTCCAAACAAGAAAGAAATGAACTAGAATTCTTGTATTGTCTATACATTGGTAATACTCAAAGAATAATGGATGTTTTAGGAATAAATAAAATAGAAGATGAAGAATCAATATATCACCTAAATCTGTTCCACTAAATTCATCCTTATGAACAGTGCCAGCTTACTTAGGGCTCCGTGACACAAGCTTCTCAAGTTACATTTAGTTGAAAGTGGGCTAGGTAAAAAATCTCATTGGGCTCGTGTATGAGCCATCGAGAATGAAGCTTAAATCAACATCAATACATCATGAGAAGATAAAAAAAAGCTTTTCCGAGTGGGCTGCAAGCTCTGCCAAATTTTCTTTTAATATAAGAGATAATATTATATCTACAAATAAAATAATGAAATGTCACTTCCATCGATCAAAAGACCTGACTCATTTTACTACTTTCATGACAAAAATCAAACGACAGAGGAAAAGAGTCATAGGGCGTTTCACGTTAGAGGCAAGGTTTTAGGAGTAATGGCAGAATGAAGACTTAGGTATCTCACTTCTCTCTCCCTCATGGTTTCCTTCTTCGCCTCATACTCTCTTCAAATTTCAAATCTTTTCTTTGTTTCTCATCATATCTCACTTTCATCTGTTCTTTCCCTTAGAGAAAAGGACAAGGCATGGCTAAAAGCAAAGTTGGGGCAGTGATGCAGGGATTCATAAATATAAAGTTGGAGAAGAGGCCAAGGACTCTAGGATCAAGGTAGTAGGACTTCATTTCTTTTTTTAATTTCAATCCCTTTGTCAGTAAACATAAACTTTTTGAATATATATGATAACAGAGGAATGAAAGCCAAGAGGACGAAAGGTTTGAGTAGCTTGATTTTGAAGAGAAAAGAGAGGATGAGATGATGGAGAGGCTCAAAAGGAAGGAAGGAAGCAAAAGACTACAGGTAATGATTCCTTGCTCCTACTTACCTTCTCTTTATGTTACTAACTTCTAGACATCATGATTGAACCTTGAGATCTTGATCTTGTGATTTGACTTGACGAAGATGGCAAAGGAGTTTTAAACGAGCCGCTTTGTTTCTAATAAAATTTCTTATTTTCCTTTTTCTTTTCTTTCTTTTGGTGTAAAGGAGATTCAATGAAAGAAGTCTGGGAAATTTTCTATTGGATATATGGCTTTGTTGTATCAATGACTAAAAATCTAACTTGGAGCCAAAAAGTATGGACCATCTAAGGAGAAGTAATGTATCCCCCTCTTTTCTTTGACTTTTTGTGGGTTCCTTTTTGAGCTTTTATGCTTAATCAATAAATCTTTAGATATTAGATTACTAACTTTGGCTTTTAATAACAAGTGACTGCAACCAAGAGACCCATGAATAGTGCTTTAGAAGCTGATCTTAATCTTGATATGACTAAAAAGGTTACAGCCTTGATTGAGGAGATGATCCGATAAAGGATCCTTGAAGTAAATTGAAAAGCTGAGATTTCATCAATATGGTCTTTTACTGCGATGCTCTGTGTATTTTATTCAATGATAGGAGGCTTTTGACATTATTTGTCTAAAATACTATGGGCTAAGCTGATCTGTGCACAGAGCCACTTGATTTTAACTTTCTTATACTACGTAGCCTTCAAATATACTCCAGTAAAAAAACATGTATTTGTTTTTTCTAAGTTATATTTATGTTGATTACAGGGACGTTTTGATCACCTTCAAAGGGATAGGGAACTAAAAGAGTTGGTAACCTCAATTTCCATAAAATAAATAGAATATTGAGATTTAGTTGCTTTCTAGCTATATTGGTAGCTTAGTTAATCATCATCTCTATTATGTATATCGGGAAAAATTTATGAGATGTGTATTCTTCTTTACTATCATGCATTGTTGATTTATCTAAAATTGGTATTTTTATTACTAAAAAGCCCCTGTTGTTTTTGTCGATTATTTACTTAAAAACTCCCTTTTATTTCTAAATTATGTATAGGAAAAATGTGTTTAGAAGACAGCCCTGCTTTTTCTCCATTGTTATTCAAAGATGAACAGAAAATAGACATGCATGCTTTAATCGTTAGCTTCAATTTTATAAGTTCCATCATTTTCAAGCTGCATGTTTTTCTTGTTATAGATGAATAGTGAGAAAGAGGAACAACTTGTGTCGTCAACTAATACATTGGTATTTTTGGGAAATATTATTAATTCTCATCATGTTCTTTAGCAGGGATTTATAGAAGAAGAGAATCATGTCAGATTAAAGCATGTTGAGGAATATTAAGACTATATAAGTAATCTTGTAAGGATAAAATTTTATTATTTATATTTTGATGTTTATTCCCATATATGTGCCGTAACATTAGGGGCGTTAAATCTTTGGCTTTTCCTTTGTTTTGGTAGGATAGAGAAATTTGAAGACAGTAAATTTAGATTCACTTATGTGAGAACTCGAGATTCATGGACATTAGTGCAGTTTGAAGTTTTAGAAAAGGAGGAGCTTAGTAAGTGGATTCATTGGCTTTAACCTTACAATGCCACTCTTTCAGTTTACCCGCTAGATAATGAAGCCTTATATGATATCTTTTTTAGGACTCTTAAATTAACAACTCCCAGCTGTAAGCCTTGTGCTCACTTTATTTATCTCTTAAAATTATGCATTAATTGAGGGTTTCTTGTATTTTTCTTTTATTGATTAGAGAGGTATTAATCTGCTAATATGATACAGGGCAAATCACATAGTGCCTATTAATATTTGGTGGTCTTTTTAATGTAAATGCAAGGCAAACTTTAACTGTCTAGACTTAAACATGGTCCGTTGCAATTTCTCTAATTGGTGATATAAAAGTGGTGATGGAATGAGGCATTAACCTTCTTTGAAGCTATTAACAAGTTTTTTATGTTTATATGAGATCTAGGTGGTAGAGTTATGCCTTTTGTTTTGTGGATTGTAATATTAGGCTTCCTTGGTGGTAAATTTTGTTTGGTGTATACAGATTGAGAATACTGTAATAAGTTTTTATGCTCAAGTTAGACCATGGTGATAATCTGACCGCATAATTATGGGTTTACAAAGAGCATGGGAGAAAGGGTATAGAAAGGTTTTGCTGAAAAGTGATTGTGCTGTGGCTCTCAAGATAAGTAGGGCTCACTACAGTGAATGACATGCTGATAAAGATATAATTCTTGAGATCAAATCACTTCTTCAGAGAGAATGGACAGTGGACATTACGCATGTGGAAAGACAGTTGAACATGGAAGCTGATTACTTAGTGGAAAGAGCCTTGTCTTCTCCCTTTAGCTTTCCTCATATTGTTGGGAACTCCATTGAAGGTTTCTTTGGTGGTGATAGTTTGAGTTAATTTTGTTGTCTTTCGTTTTTGCTTTCCTTTGTGTGTGTGTAAAATAGTGCAATTATAAGTTTACAATATTATGGTAAGGATTGTTCTTCTTTTGCTTTGCAAGAAATATAAATTTGCTTTGCTTTTGCATCATTGAATATATAAATTTTTTTGTTCAATGGGAGCACTCATAGTGTTGCAAGACACATTTGTTTTATAGCTTCTTATTCTAATGTACGTTGAATGAGATATTGAAAATTGTAATAAATTTACATGTTTATACTAATTTTTGTTTAAGTAATTTTTTTATACAATGTTCAAGTAAGCTTAATCTGAATTATACAGTTAGTACATGTAAAATTTATTTTATATGTACAATTATTGAGTATAACTCATTTTAAATTTGGCCCAATTCTAATATTGAATTCAATTCAATATCACTATGGAGATACAGGTCTAGCATTACAAAATCTTAAATATCATACGTACTTACATGAAACCATTGCAAGTTGACTATAACCAATGTTAAAATCCTCCTTTCATAGAACTTTTGTGCAGGACATTCTACAATAATTCTAATCTTCGTTTTATATAATTTTGAAGTAGAATTAATTTATACATAATTCAATTAGACATTACTGATAATCTCTTGGGGTAGGTAGTAAAAGCCAGCTACATTCAAAATAAAAATGGCTGTTTGTTAAAAAAAATAGTTGTTTTAGTATAATAAGGATGTGAAGTTCATAAAATTGTATAATAGAGGCATTATATATAAATTTAAAATATGTGCCCAAGATAAATAAAGACATTATGTTTAAAATGAAAAATTATAGAATATAATATCATAAATAGGTAGTTAACAATTTCAATTTCCTTACGTGAAAGGTACCGAAACAAACAAATCTTGCAAGTAATAAATTATCTATGAGTTAATCATTATATTTGATCAATATTTATATATAATCTTCTATTGTCTTGTAGGGGAAGTAAAAACAGGATATGTGGCATTGTCAAGGTAAGAAACATGGATGGGTTGTAGATTTTGATGCATGATCATGAAAATATTAATCAAAGAACAACTACAAATGTTATTTACTGAGATTTTAGGGGCTTGGGCTCATAAAATATTATATATGCATTCTAATTGTCATCTATTTTATGCTTGATTTCATTAAGTTGTAGTAATGAATTAATATTTCTTTATTATTAATAAAGGTTGTGAGTAAATGGGATTTTTTTTTTGTTGGGTAAGAATACCTTTTATTGTGTAATGAAGTAATGATATTACAACTAATATAATATTAATATAAAAATTATAAAGTGTGATATTTAATTTGATATAATTTTTGCTCCCCGTGCGATCCATAGGATAGTAAAATCTAGTTACAAATAAATATAATGGGAATAATCGAATAGGCTAAGGCGAATCAGAGCGATCGTCTGGTTCAGACCTACTTCACTTTACCGCGTGTCTCGAAGAACTCTGAATCAATCATGTCGGAGAAACAGCTGATTGTCGCAGTCGAAAGCACTGCTGCTATGGGGCCGTATTGGCAAACCATTCGTTCGGATTATCTCGATAAGATAATCAGGTTCCATTCTCTTTTGGTATCTGTGCTTTGTTATATTGAATCATGGTTAGGGATTTTTTTTTTACTACCTCTGAGTTATGGCGCTTTTCGGCTTTGATTTTGGTGTGTAAAAGTACAGTCTGCCTCAACTCCAATTCAAGTTTATTTCATTGACTTGATTTTTCAGATTTCAACTTCTAGCATGTTGTGTTAGTGATGTAAGTGAGTCTTATCTCTCCGTAATTACTGTCACTTACACGGAATTGGCGAAACACCTTGCCCCTTCGCCTTTTCCTTTCAAATTCTAAGAACTTGGAGATGTAATGCTAATCTTGTAAGCTAAGTTGTTCTCGTTGGTTTACATGTTGTGCTTCTTCTCTTCATTTCTAAGTTGACTGTGGATACTCTTTTTACGAAGCAAATGGCTGCAATGCAATCAGATGGTACATTCAGAAACTGATCTCAAAAGTGACACTCTGATAATTTATTTTCCGTTGTTAACTATTTCTCAAGGGTCTGATTGAATAGATATAGTTAAACCATCACTTAGTGGACTTGGGATTTGGTTATTTTAATCAAGTTGCAAAAGTTTTTTCATCACAATTGTAAAAATTCTGTTGAAGTTGGATGAAATCATGGTTGAATATTGTGAATGCTTGATACATTTTCTTGGCTCCTGAATCAAACCTTGGGGAGATTGCCCCAAAGGTCTAGTTGTTTAGGGGAGAGAATCAATAGCTACCTGCTTTGAGTTTCTCATAACATTTGGATTTTGGGTGAGTCCTGACAGCCTACCGTCATTTTAAAAGCAGGATCATTCATTGCCAATATATTTCTGGTTACATCGGCATGGGAGGTGAATTCAAATACATGATCCCCACCACCAAAAAGAAAAAAAGAAAGAAGAAAAGAACAAAAGAAAAGAAAAGAAGAAAAGTTAAAAACAGCATGACCCGTGTGAACTGCATCATATACCTTATTTTAAGCACACTGTTGCCCTTTTCTTTTGGACCACGTATTTTTTCTTCATTTCTCTTCATTCAAGAATTAAAATTGATAGGAATGGATTCGATGCTTTCTCCTACTCTGTAGGCCCCTGCGCAATGGGAAAATTCATGCTGGACAGATAGAGCAGCGAAGGAAAGAGAGAGATTATGGGATGAGAGAAAAAGGGGAAGGACAGAAGTGAGAAAACACAATTCTTATACACATTCTCAGTCCTGAATTCATGTCTGACAAATCCAAATTTGTAGCAATCCTTAGAACTTGAACTGGCAAACCCCAAATGATAGAAGAGAAATCCTAAATTACTATTAATCCCCAATTAATTTAAAATACTGTTGTAACGCCAAATTACTACTAATTAATTTAATATCCAAATCACTCTAAATTTTCAATGCACGCAAATTTCTTATTTTATACTCCCGTACCCAATATTTCTTTCCTATTGTCTCTAGCAGAGACAGACATGTTTATGATTCAAATGTCTGATGTTGCATTTTTTGTTAATTTAGTTAGATTTTGAATTATTATATAGTTGGTATGAGTTACGCATTAGTGATGTCTGATGTGAGTTAAATTTTTGATTTGCTGTTTATTTTATTATTAAATTATTGCTTTCTACATAATATGAACTACCTTATAATGCTGTATGTACCTACACAACATGTTATTTGCTATTAATTAATAATGATTAAGTGAATGTGAAATTAAAAAAATTCAGTGCCTAAAAGCTCTATTTGCCAAGAGGTTAAACAAAAATAAACGACTTTTCCTTTCTTCTTAAATTTTTAGTCATGTCTAAATGGTATCGTGACACAGGGGGCGTGTGAGAGTTCAACACTTAAATTAGATAAGAGATCTCATCTTTTTGTTTGCATACACTTGAGCCAACACTCTTGTATAATTGCTGTATAATGTGTTAAAAAATTCTGTTAAAATGTGTAGTTAAATAGTGTAAATTTATTTTATTTCTTTAATAGATGGATTAGTTGGTAGTTGGAGGTTAGAGGTTATAATAGGATTTATTATTCTATGTTGATGTACTCTTATAAATAGCATTATGTAAATGATAGTAGTGAAAATAATAAAAGAGTAGTTTTTCACCGAAATTGTCATGGTATCAAAGTCTATCTGAGGCTTAGAGTTCTTTTGAGGTTGGGTTCATTTTTTGCATTAGGGTTTCAATTGTCTCTGTGAGTTTGGGTTCTGAACAGTCAAACCCACTATTGCCGGAGACTATTTAACCTACACGTGTTGGACCACTGCCTTCACTTGGCGTTGACTGACCCCACCTAGAAGTTTGATCCCCCTTTGGTGCCACACGTTGCCCTACTGAATCTGCCCAGTGCTGTGTTTTCGGTGCATGAGAGTGCGTTTGGGTTCTAGTCACCTCCATTTTGCTCGGAATCTCCTTCTCTCCTTGTTTTAGTCATGTTTGACGAAAAAAACACGTATGACAGTATTGGGTCTTCCTCGTTTAGGGTTTTTGGGGAGCTGCCAAGTGTTTCGATTGCTTATCGATTAACTGGAGCCAACTTTCTAGCTTGGTCTCAGTATGTTCGTACCTTTTTAAAGGTTTGAGAGAAGCTTAGTCATTTACTTGGAATTGGTCCTAAGTTCGGAGAACCTAAGTTCGATGCTTGGGATGAAGCTGATTCAATGGTAATGTCTTGGTTGTGGCAATTTATGGCCCCTAAAGTTAGTTGCATGTGTTTGTTTCTGTCCTTGGCTAAGGAGATTTGGCATACAGTGCACCAGATTTGCTTGAAAGTGAAGGATGCTACCCAAATTTATGAGACACGGACCAAGATTTTCAATACCAAATAGGGTAGTAAATTTGTCATTGAATATTCTACACTTATGAAGAGTTTGTGGCAAGAATTAGACTACTATCAGTGTATTACTTTGAAAGATCCTGATGATGCAGCTGCCTTTAAACGCTTCATTGAGAAGCAGAGAATTTTTGAGTATCTTGCTGGGCGTAATTTAGAATTTGATTTTGTAAGAGTTCAACTTCATGGTTGGGAAGATGTTCCTTCTCTCAATGAGACTATTGCCATTGTATTAGCAGAAGAAGGTCGTTGAGAAATGATGATGAAAACTCCATTTGTGGAAAGCTCTGTCCTGGTGTCAAGGAATGTTGCTTCTTATTATGTGGAAAATGAGAAACGAGGGGACTTTTCCAAGAAAGAACCTATTTGATGCGCTCATTGCAAGAAGTTGTGACACACCAAGGAGAAGTGCTGGAAGCACCATGGTAAGCCTCCAAATATGAAAAAAGGACAAGCTCACGTGGCCACTGATTCTACCAAGGAGAATTCTAGTTAGACTGACCTTAAGGGGGAGACTGAGAAATTAAGATCTATGCTAGAGTCACTTGACAAGGCGACTACTTCTAGTTCTAGTACAGGTATTTGTTCTTTAGGGTTCTCAGGTATCTCCTTTCAGTCTTCATTTGTCTTATTTTTATCTGCACTAATTGCCTCAAAACAAGATTTTCTTCACTGTTGGATTGTGGATTTTGGAGCCTCAAACCATTTGACAAATTCCTCCAAGAATTTTGTATCTTATAGTCTGTTATAATTAGGGTAGAACAGCACTGATATTTTATTCATAAGAATTGTTTACATATATAGAAGAGATGAGAGGAAGAGAATCTACACAAATCACTAATATCTCTCCTATAATCTTGGCAAATCAAATCAGATGCTGATAAGAGATAAAATCAGATATTAATAACAGGTAGCAGATCTTATTTAAATAAGGAAAAATAGGTCTAATCTTGATATGGGCTTATGGCGCCTTAGGCCCTTATCCAACACTCCCCCTCAAGCTGGCGAATAGATGTTAATCATTCCTAGCTTGCTTCTGAGCCTTGCAAATTTGTTTTGGGTCAACGATTTGGTCATAATGTTTGCAATCTGGTTCCCTGAAGGGATGTAAGATAGATCTATCACCTTAGCTTCAATTTTTTCCTTGATGAAGTGTCTATCAATTTTCACATGCTTCATGCGGTCATGTTGAACAGGGTTGTTAGCGATCTTTATGGCTGACATATTATCACACCATGCTTTAATCGGATCATTTAGATCAATCTTCAATTCCTTTAAGAGACGAATGATCACAGGCCAAAGCTCTGATACCATGTTATAATTAAGGTAGAACAACATTGATATTTTATTCATAAGAAGTGTTAAAATATATGAAGAGATGAGAGGAAGAGAATCTACACAAATCACTAATATCTCTCCTATAATCTTGGCAAATCAAATTAGATGTTGATAAGAGATAAAATTAGATATTAATAACAAATAGCAGATCTTATTTAAATAAGGAAAAATAGGTCTAATTTTGATATGGGCCTATGGTGCCTTAGGTCCTTATCCAACACAGTCTATGTCCTAGTACTAAGAAAATCATGTGGGGTGTAGGTCTATAGCTACTGTGGCCGATTAAGGAGATGTTAGATTGAGTGCTGGTCTTCTGCTAAAGAATGTCTTGCATGTTCCTAAACTATGCACAAACCTTATCTTTGTGAAAAAACTTACTACTGATTCTGATTGTTATGTCCTATTCTCTTCTCTCTCTTGTCTTTTTTCAGGAGCGAGGAATGAATTAGATGATTGGACTTGCTGAAGAAAGAGATAGACTTATTTTTTTGATGAGCCTAGTGAATGCAGTAGGATTCAAAGCTTGATGGCTTCCTCTTCTTCTCAGTCAAAAAGAGTCAAGTCTAGAAAAGATCAAATTTGGCTTTATCATCGTCGTTTGGGTCATCCTTCATTTAATGTTTTGAAAACTATTTCCTTCTTGGTTTAAAGATGTACTTGTTGAGGCCTTTCATTGTGATGTTTGCGAGTTTGCAAAAGAACTTCTGTTCCTTTTAGCGTGATTCATAGTGATATTTGGGGTCCATCTAGTGTCCTTAATGTTACTAGCTCTCGATGGTTTGTGTCCTTTATTGATGATTGATCTCGTGTAACATGGATTTATTTGCTAAAACAAAAATCTGATGTTAGTACTTTTTCCACTTTTTATAACATGATTAAAACTCAATTTGGAGTTGGGATACAAAGGTTTAGTTCTGACAATGCAAAAGATTTTTTTAATCAATCATTGTCCATATTTTTTGATACATATGGAATTCTACATGAATCATCCTGTGTTAATACTCCTTAACAAAATGGGGTGGTTGAGAGGAAAAACAGTCGTCTTCTTAATGTAATTAGAGCCTTATTTTTTCAAACTAATGTGCCTAAGCAATATTGGGGAGAAGCTCTTTTAACTGTTACCCACATGATTAACAGACTTCCAACCTCGGTCCTTGGTTCAAAAAGTCCTATTGATGTTCTTACCCAATTTTTCCCTAATTTTAATGCACCAAGTGGACTTATACCTAGAATATCCGGATGTGTGGTCTTTGTTCATTTGCATTCTCAACAAAGGATTAAACTTGACCCTAGAGCTCTTAAATGTGTGTTGGTTAGGTATTTCTTTACTCAAAAAGGGTGTAAGTGTTATCATCCTTTTTCTAGGAAGTTTTCTGTGTCTGATGATGTCACTTTTTTTGAATTTGATTCTTATTTCAATACCCCTCTTGAAAGAGAGAGCCTTCTTAATAAGGACTAGGGTCATGATCCCCTTGTCAACGAATTTCTTAATTTTTTACCACCTAGTGAGACCTTGGAAGTACCATCACCCTAAATTTAGTCGTCCACTATAGGTTTTCACTCGGAAGAAGAAGAGAATATCTTAACTTACACAAGTTCAATCATCTGAAACAACTCTTGCTCAAACTTCTAAACCCGTGCATGAAAATTGTGAGGTAACTCCTGATCTTCCTGAAAACACTAAAATTCCTTCAAGTTCTCATGATGTTTCTGATAGTCAGGATGCATATGAAAATAATTTAGAGTGGCTTGATTCGGATCTACCTATTACTCTGAGAAAGGGGCCTGCAGTTGTACTAAAAAATCCTTATACCTAATATCTTCATTTCTTTCCTATGAAAAATTGTCTTGTAGTCACAAAGCTTTCCTTACCAGTCTTCATCCCATCTCAATATCGCAATCTGTATTTGAGGAATTAATAGATGATAATTGGGTTAAGGTAACGAAGGTTGAGATGGACGCACTTGAAAACAACAATACATGGGATCTTGTTCCATTACCGGAGGGAAACAGGCTTGTTGGGTGTAAGTGGGTCTTCACTCTCAAATATAATTCTGATGGTTCTTTAGACAAATAAAAGGTTCGACTTGTTACCAAAGGATATACTCAAACATATGGGGTTGACTATCGAGAAAATTTTGCTCCTGTTGCGAAAATGAATATTTTTCGTATTTTATTATCTTTAGCAGCTCTCTATGATTGGGAATTGCTGCAATTTGATGTGAGGAATGCATTCTTACATGGTGACTTAAAAGAAGAGAATTATATGGAGACTCCTAGGTTTGGTTCTCATCTTCCTCCTGGTACTGTTTGCAAGCTAAAAAAGGCTTTGTACGGCTTGAAAAATCACTTAGGGCATGGTTTGGCAGGTTTTCAAAGGCCATGGTTGGCATGAGGTTCAAACAGAGTCAAGGCAATCACACTTTATTCATCAAACATGCTTCTTCAAGGGGAGTAACAATTTTACTTGTTTATATTGATGATGTTATAGTAACAGGGAGTGATTTGTAAGGGATTCAGTCTCTGTGAAGTTAATTGATGAAAGAATTTCAAATGAAAGATTTAGGGAGGTTGAAATATTTCTTAGGCATTGAAGTGGTGCATTTTAAGCATGGCATCTTCATATCCCAACATAAATATATTCTTGACCTTCTCATTGAAACAAGAAAAATGGGGTGCAGACCTATGGACGCTCCAATTGAACAGAATCACAGGTTTTATAAGGAAGGAAGACGTCCTGGCAAACCGAAAAAAAGTCATGAGCCCAACAAACCTCTTCCTCCAGAGCCTTCTGTCAGTAAGGAATCCTATCAAAGACTTGTTGGGAAATTGATTTATCTAGCTCACACTATGCCAGGCATTGCTTACGTTGTGATTGTGGTAAGTCAATTTATGCACGATCCTAAAGAATCTCATTTACAAGCGATTTATCGCATACTTGAGTATTTGAAGGGCACTCCGGGGAAAGGCATTCTGTTCAAGAGAAGGAAAAATTGACTCTTGTAGCATACACAGATGTAGATCATGGAGGGGATATGGATTCTAGAAGGTCTACATTAGGATATTGTATGTTTCTTGGCTCAAATCTCATTACTCGGAGGAGTAAGAAGTAGGATGTAGTATTTAGATCTAGTGTTGAAGCTGAGTTTAGAGCTATGGCACTTGGAATTTGTGAGTTGTTGTGGGTGAAGATAATTTTATTAGATTTGAGAATCAAATGGTAAGGTCCAATGAGACTTTATTGTGACAACAAGTCAGCTATCAACATTGCTCATAATCCTGTATAGCATGATAGGACCAAACATGTTGAAATTGATTGACACTTTATCAAAGAGAAGTTGGAAAGTGGCCTAATCTGTACTCCCTACATACCTTTTGGTGATCAATTGGCAGATATACTCACAAAAGGATTATCAAGAAATATATTGAAAGTAGTTGTTAATTTCACCCTTTACCACCCCTAGTTGTTCTATCTAGTGCCTAGTGATAATTATCAGTTGATTCCTTTTACATGTGAGGTAAGGTAAACCTACATCTAGCAGTCCTCATATGTTAAGTCCTTCCCGTGTTAGCTTAGATAAATAACTTAACTCTCTATAACTATCTCACTTTATAGTTTGTTAGTAACTATTTTTAACATCTTATGGTATTCATACAGGTCTTTCGGTGGAAATGACACAACTGGGCAGGTATGCATGATTTCACTCAAATGAAAATAGTACTATCTAGGGAAAAGATGAGAGGACTGTATTAGTGTCTAATGTGATCTTGCTCACTTTTTATTAGCTCTTTTATTTAATCTAGTGTACTTTTATTCACGGATGGTAAAGTAAAATGCTGTCTTCTTATTGGCATTGAGGGACAAATATTTGTTTATTATGTTGTTGGTTCTTCCTGATTTTATGCACTGGCCAGTAGATTCTTTCATTGCCAATATTATAATTGTTATTTTTGCTTGATGCTAAAGCTCTACTAAACTAACAAGGCTCCAGCACTGGTCAGTTTGGAGATATGCATGATTTGGTCTTGATAATCTATTGGATAGTTTCAACTAATCAACTGCTTGAATATTGTTTATGTGATCTTATTTTATGCTGTCTTTTAGTCCTAAACTCTGGCTTGAAGCTATTGTTGTCTTATTTTGACCCAATTACCTGGGTAGAAGAAAGTTGTGTAACTGATTCAAAGGATTTATTCGGTGTTGGAAGCTTGCAAGATTTTAATGTGTTTTTGGTTGAAATTATTACTATTATAGGCAAGGGCTGCTCATATCTTCAAGGATATCTCCTTGCCTTTCCTACTATTGTGGGATAAAGTTTTGTTTACAGCCTTGTTTTAGTGCTCTGTGAATGAGTGTTTGTGTTTCAAATGAATTATAATTTTTGATTTGCACAGAGACTGAAAAAGCTTTTCTATGTAGTGGAGTCTCCACCCCCACCCCCGGCTTTCTCTCTCTAATTTTTTCTTGATATCTTCTGGCCGCTAATGCTATATCTTCTCTTGTACCTCTGATGCTGATTTTCCTTTTTGTAAAAAAGAAAGAAAGTAGCTATTAAAAATGAAAGAAAGAAGTATTAAGGAAATTTGCTCTGGTTGCTGTATAGGAAGACTAATCCATCCTGAACGTTTAAGCTATTAGGTGAAGTCCCACAAATGCTATTAGCATGAGAAGTGTGGAAAAAGCCTAGTCCCTCAATAACGAGTGAAGTAGAGTACATTAGTTTCTAGCTTTTGCTATCTTAGTGGATGTGATATGTTTTCTAGCTTGACAATAGATGTATTTTGGTTTGCTTGTCTATTAAATTCTCCTTTCCCTTTTTTATGCAGAAGCCTTCGACTTCCAACGTTGAGTTTGCATTAGTTACCTTTAGTACTCGTGGATGTTATTCTGGTACAGTCTTGCATAATCTTTTAATGGTGTTGTTAAAATCTTCTCTTGTTTAGACTGCATTACTGTTGAATTATTAGGACTTCAGATGTTGATGCATGATTGTGAGTCTATTCTTTTTTTTTTTTCCTGTTTTTTTGGTAAAGTGAGTCTATTCTTTTAAGCGCATGTGTAAATACATTCTATGATTCTACCACTTACTATTTCTCTTCAAATATTCCTTTGTTACCCATCCCTTGCACTTTAAATTGATTTCTTTGACAAGGGAATTAGATGAGTGTGATTTCTTTCGATGAATTGAGTATAATTTTAAATATAGAATATATTAACAATTGTCTGTTAGTTTTGAAGTAGAGCAAGGAATTGGACAAAATTTCGCTACTTACTAATTTTCAACAATATAATCTCTTGAATATTGTGAAGTCTGAATTCTGCTCTCTTACGCCAGAAAATCTGTATGCAATTGACTAATATATGGAGTATATTTTGTGGGAATATTATGTTATTATTGAGAATTATTAGCATTTATTAGGATCTCATTAATTAGGCTTTATTAGTATTTATTAGCTTTTATCTCTCTTGATGTATATATATAGGGCTAGTGTGTACATTAGAACAGCAATGAGACAATACAATTTTTTCCTCTCTGAAAATTCCACATGGTATTAGAGCATCAGGCTCAAAATTTCAAATTAAATTAGTTCTGGAATGGCTAGAATGGGGCTGCCTGAACAGTACGTGACAGCGTTTGTGTGGACAATGGTGGAGTGAGTTTTGAATCTCATCGCCACCCTAGACGTACTCAGGAGGCTCCGAACGACGAAACCCAGGGCGGCGGCGGCGAACGGCGGCGCGTGTAGACCACACGTGCCACCCCTGCTCACTGCGTCAGCAAGCTTTCGGCGGCGCGTGGAGGCGGGTGGAGGCTTCGTTCAGGATGCGATCTTCTCGGACGACAACGACGCACTCTCTCCGGCCAGATCCAGCACAATCCGGTGTATGGGCACATCGTTTTCGAGCCATATCAGGTCGTATGGTCTTGTTAGTGCCCTGTTTTGCTGGGTTTGGAGTTATATTGGGTTGTGGCTTCTGTTTTCAATCTACCAGAAAGCTTTTCCCTCATTTGAAGTGCTAGGGGTGGTGCTGTGGCTACTTTTATGTAGTGTTGTGCATAATTCCAGATCTGCACCCATGGCATTTGTTTCAAAAAGAGGGTCTTTCCTTCAGGCTTTAAAGACGACTCGAAGTGCAGTGGTCTGGATCGTGGATTCCGGGACATCTGATCATATGACTAATTGTCATCAATTGTTCACCACTTACACCCTATGTGCTGGAAATATTAGAGTGAAAATTGCAGACGGCTCCTTAGCACCGGTGGCAGGAAAAGGGAGTATCCGTATATCAGATTCTATTGCTTTGGAACCTGTCCTTCACGTGCCAAAACTTGACTGTAATTTACTTTCAATCAGTCAACTGACCAGGCACTCAAATTGTTTTGCTAAATTTCTCCTGTCACATTTTGTGTTTCAGGATCTATCGTCTGGTGCGACAATCGACAATGCCAAAGAATATAAGGGGCTCTACTATTTAGAGGTCATCACTCGAGTGGATAACCCACCTATTGTTGGTAATTTTGCATCTACCTCTAAAGTTCATGATTTTATGTTATGGCATAAGAGAATGGGTCATCCCAATTTTCATTACCTTCAGCGGTTGTTTCCAACTTTATGCCCGACCTTGAATCATAGTGAAATCCAGTGTGAGGTATGTGAACTTGCCAAACACCACCGAACTTCCTTTCCTAGAGCCAAATACACACCTATCAAACCTTTCACAACCATCCACAGTGATTTGTGGGGACCATCTCGCATTTCAAACCGTACTCAAACAAAATGATTCATCTCCTTCATTGATGACCATACTCGTGTTTGTTGGGTTTACCTTTTGAAAAACAAGTCCAAGGCTGCATCCACATTCATGAGTTTTTTTACCATGATCAAAAACCAATTCAACACTAACATTCAAGTTTTACACACCGATAATGGCACTGAATGCTTCAACCAATCTTTGAGTAATTTTCTCCAAATGCATGGGATTGTCCATACCAGTACGTGTGCCCATACACCCCAACAAAATAGGGTCGCAGAAAGAAAAAATAGACATATCCTTGAAGTTGCAAGAGCACTCATGTTCACTTGCAACGTGCCAAAGTTTTCTTGGGGAGATGCCATTTTAACCGCAACCTATCTCATCAACCGGATGCCCAGTCGAATATTAGCCTTCGAAACTCCTCTCCAAAAATTGCAGAGTGTTTTTCCTACATCCCACATTGAAACCAAACTTCCGCTTCGTGTGTTTGGGTGCACAACCTTTGTTCATATTCACCAAAGCAGTAAACTTGAACCTCGAGCTATCAAGTGTATCTTCCTTGGCTATTCTCCTACCCAAAGAGGATATAAATGCTTTGATCCTGTTTCTAAATGCATCCTTGTAAGCCTCGATGTTACTTTCCATGAAGAAACTCCTTTTTATTCCAATTCCTCAATTCAAGGGGAGAATATAGGTGAATCTCAGACTTGGGAACTAGAACCTAATATACTTCTTGAGTCCGTGTCTCCTTTACTAGAACCATCACCCTTACCTTTGTCCAACACCCCACCTTCACCAACCTCTTCTCTTATGCCAAAGTTTGAGGAAAACAAGATAACAGAGAAAGATGTGGAAAGACCACAAAAGGGGGAGTTGTTAGTTTATACTCGAAAGAAGAAAACAAAAGATAGTGAGCAACTTGTACCTGAGGCACCAAGAGAGTCAGAACCAGAGGTAGTCCCTGAAGCTGACATACCAAAGATTGATCCATCTAGTAAGCCAGATGACTCAAAACAAAGAAGTGAATCTACTGATCTTGATCTACCTATTGCCCTTCGGAAACAACCTCGGTCTTGTACTTTGCATCCGATTCAGAAGCATGTGTCTTACAAGGCTCTCTCTCTTGGTTACCGAGCCTTCATCACTAATTTGGATAAAGTTGTTATTCCTAACAACATCCAAGAAGCATTGGAAATACCAGAATGGAGAAATGCAGTTACGGAGGAAATGAGAGCTTTGGAAAAAAATGAAACATGGGAGATTGTTGAAAGACCTAGAGGTAAGAAACTGGTTAGTTGCAAGTGGGTCTTTACCCCAAAGTATAAGGCTGATAGCACACTTGACAAGTTGAAAGCACGGTTAGTAGCAAGAGGTTTCACCCAGACTTATGGCATAGACTACAAAGAGACGTTTGCGCCAGTGGCAAAACTAAACACTATAAGAATCCTATTGTCAGTGGCAGCCAACCTTGAATGGCATCTTCATCAACTAGATATCAAAAATGCTTTTCTAAATGGAGAATTGAAGGAAGAAGTCTACATGACTTTACCTCCTGGGTTTGATAGAGGCAGAAATGACAAAGTATGTCGGCTGAAAAAAATCACTGTATGGCTTGAAACAGTCACCTAGGGCATAGTTTGACAGATTCTCAAAGGTCCTAAAGTTAGAAGGCTACAAGCAAGGATTGTCAGATCATACGATGTTTGTTAAGGCTGAGGGGGCTAAGAAGTGCATCCTCATTGTGTACGTTGATGATATAATCCTTACAGGAGATCATGTTGATGAAATAGCAAGGATAAAAACTATCCTTAGTAAGGAATTTGAAGTTAAGGATCTTGGGAACTTGAAATATTTTCTTGGGATGGAAGTTGCTAGGTCAAAACGAGGAATATATGTATCTCAGAGGAAGTATATACTTGATCTTCTCAAGGAAATTGGCATGCTGGGTTGTAAACCTCAGGAAACTCCTATAGTGGTCTCGAAAAAGAAGAGGCCACCTGAGAAAAGCGGCACTGAGGAGTTAGAAGGAGAAAACAACTCTGATAATGAAGTTGAAGAAGAAGAAGACAAGGAGAAAGAAGAAACCATTGATAAAGACAGATATCAGAGACTGGTTGGGAAACTGATTTATTTATCCCATACGAGGCCAGATATTGCTTTTGCTGTCAGTGTAGTAAGTCAATACATGTGTGATCCAAGGAAGAGACACCTGGAAGCTGTATATAGGATTCTCAGATACTTTAAGGGTACACCTGGTAAGGGATTGTTATTCAAGAAGCATGATCAAAGGACAATTGAGATTTACACCGATGTAGATTGGGGGGGACTTATGGAGATAGGAGATCCACCTCTGGCTATTGTTCATTTGTGTGGGGAAACTTAGTAACCTGGAAAAGTCAAAGCAAAGAGTTGTATCCAGAAGCAGTGCTGAATCAGAATTGAGAGCATTAGCTCAAGAATTACAGAAGAACTATGGATAAGAAGGGTCATGGAAGAAATACAAGTCAGAGTTGATCCACCAATGAAATTGTATTGTGATAATAAGGCTGCTATAAGCATGGCATTGAATCCTGTACAGCATGAGAGATCTAAACATGTTGAAGTAGATAGACATGTTATCAAAGAGAAAGTAGAAGGAGGTATTGTATGTCTGACATACCTACCTACAAAGTTACAAGCTGCGGATGTACTAACCAAGGGACTACCCAAGCCTGCATTTGAGAGTTGTATAAGCAAGTTGGACATGATTAGCATCTATGATCCAACTTGAGGGGGAGTGTGGGAATATTATGTTATTATTGAGAATTATTAGCATTTATTAGGATCTCATTAATTAGGCTTTATTAGTATTTATTAGCTTTTATCTCTCTTGATGTCTATATATAGGGCCAGTGTGTACATTAGAATAGCAATGAGACAATACAATTTTTTCCTCTCTGAAAATTCCACATATTTACTTGATTTGGCATCGTTGAATGCAGGCATTGTTGCGCAACGGACTGGCTGGACAAGTGACCCTGATACATTCTGCAAATGGCTTTCAGCTCTGTCCTTTGTTGGCGGTGGTTTTGATGATGCTGCAATTGCAGAAGGGCTCTCTGAAGCTATCATGGTATAATACGTTAGTTTCCTCTTTCTTTTTTCTGAGTCATGTTCTCCTTTCAAGTTTCAGTTGACTTTAAGAGTATTTCCATCTCCATAAGGCTCTACCATTTCTTAATGCCAGCATCCCGAATTTGCTTACTTTGAATGGAATATTCTAACGTAAGGGAGAAACATATATTGACATTTAGAGGATCTTGGACAAGGCCAGATTCAATGTGGGGATTGATATAGGGGCACTGTGTAGAACTCCAGCTTGTGCATACACGCTTACATGCATGCATGCATGTGTGTGTGTGTTTTTTTTTTCCTTTTTGAAAGGTATTTTGATGGGGATTGGGCTTTTTCATGTCTTGCCACTTCCCAGTCATTCTTTTGGTTTCCTGGGTTTGAATAAAGTGAATAACTTCTTGAGGTTGCAGAGTTTAAGGCTGCTAGGACTTGGTGTTAGAAAGAAAGAGATAGGATAATTTATTTATTGTTGATGAAATAAGAAGGTATTGTAGGAAGAGAAGGTATAACTTGTTGCAAATGCTAGAAGAGTCTTAAAAGCATACCAAATTAAGAGAAATCCTGACAAGCAAGCTTTCTAGTCTCTTGATAAAACTAACACTTATGCTTGATAAAGTTGATGCATGCATGCTAGCTGAACTTGTTATTTAAGCTATAGGCTCTCAATTTCTCATTCAAAACACTTAATTACTAGTGGCTGCAGTCCTTGAGTTTAGTGCTTTAAATGTTACATTTGTTTCTGGCACAATTCTTGAAATGTTGTATTGCTTCAATAGTTCTGTAGCAAATTTTTCTTAGGAGTTTGGCTCTATAAAACTTGCACTACATTTGAAAACTAAATTATCGTTTCTAATTCTGATTGAGGTGGATTCAACTGCTTAATTTGACATCAAAACCTTGAATCTGAGACAACTAAAAGACTTTAGATTTTTGGAGAAAATGCAGAAGCATGTCTGACAGATAAGATGAGAATTAGACAGCATGGAATGTTGGAAACCTATAAAACTTGGAAGTAATAAAATTGACTTTTTGAATCCTTCAAAAAGGCCTGCTGATTGGCATCAAATTTTATGGTGATGAGAACTATAGGGAGAGCAAAAGTTGAGGAGAAAAGATAGGAATTGAGAAAAATTTATTGTTGAATGTAGGGTGTGTATGGGCCAGATGGGCCTTGGAAACAAGTCCAATTTCCTTCTTGGGCTCCTTTTCCATGGCCAAAATTCGTGGTCAACCTGGATTGACTGAACAACAACAACAACAATAACAAGCCTGATCTCACTAGGTGGGGTCGGTGAGATGGATTCCACGATACTATTGTGCTGTATCATCAACCAAGCTTTTGAGAATAATGTTAACTAAGAGGTTTTATTCAGTAACTTAAATAAGTGTTATTTTTTATTTTCCTTTTCTTCTCTTTACAGCATTCAAGATTATCCATTCCATTCGCCTAATTGGTGCCTTCCACACTCAAATGATTTTCTACCATTTTCTGCTCAATAGATGACACGTTCATTTTTTCTCGTATATACTCATTTTGGATTTTATCTTTTCATGTATGCTTGCACATCCATGGAAATAAAATGGATTGGATTCAGTTGGGCTAGGAAACTTTGTTCTCAAATTATCAAGTCCTCCTTTGATGAAGTTGAAGAGCTGCTCTATAGTGGTTGTGTCTTAGCATTTTTTCATCTGCTCCAATCACAGGCCCACCAAAACAAAGCACAAGAGAGAACAGAAGATTAGAGTTTGAGCTCTACTTTGGTGCTTCAGCTTCCTTAGTGATTAGTTAGGACCTATCTTCTTATTGGTAAAGCAAAACAATAGGAAATATCTCATTCCTCATCATCTGTCAAATCTCAAATCACTTGTGAATTAATTATTTAGTAACCTAAATATTAGATATTCAATAATGTCTTGAAACTACTTCATATTGGAATTTGTGCTAAAACTAGTCCTATTATGTATTTGGTTGATGCAGCTTTGTGTGTGACTATTCATTTAACTAACAACATACACCTGTTTTGAATGACCTTTACTGCATGTAAAGAGTGCCTAAATTTAATTGTTAGGGTTGCTTTTCACTTTGTAGTCTTGCACACAAGTCTTCTATAATAATTAATACATTGAAATGCGTTATTTAAAATTGTCAAGGGTTTCTTTTTGAAAACTTGGAATCTTATTCATGACAAAATGTTCAAATTCTCAGATGTTCCCCACTTCTCAAAATGGAAGGCAAAGTCAACAGAACGTGGACTTGCAAAAGCACTGCATTCTTGTTGCAGCAAGTAATCCCTACCCTTTGCCGACACCAGTTTATGTACCACGACTGCAGAATTTAGATCAAGGTGAAACCATAGAATCAAATACAGGGAATCGTCTACATGATGCTGAAGCTGTTGCTAAAGCATTTCCTCAGGTATTCTTTTTTTTTTTCCTTTTTTTTTTAAATTTGGTTGTCTGTCTCCTTCATTGTTCCCTTATCTCTGGAATGTAATCTTTTGCATGCAGTGTTCTGTTTCTCTATCTGTTATCTGTCCAAAGCAGCTCCCCAAAGTTAAAGTCATTTACAATGCGGTAAGGATGGGTTATGACTCTTTTAACAAAAGAATTATGTATTTTATTTTCAAAGGACGAGATATCAGATACTTTGTCTAATATAAACCACTCATACCACAAGCATGATCTGATAACTTAGTAAAGTTGATGCTCACCTTTGTAAAGCAAAAGTAGAGCATATTTAGTGAACTATTTGCTATTCTCCCTCCTTTTAATGTTTATTTTTAAATTTAGCATGCAAATGAAATTAGCTTTTGAGCTCTTCAAGGTGTTGACTACATCCCTTTGGCAATGTAGGGGAAGCGAAACAGCTGTGCAGCAGGTCCACCTGTTGATACAAAAAACTCCCATTTTCTTGTTTTAATATCTGAAAGTTTCAGGGAAGCCTGTTCTGCTTTGAGTCGTTCTGGAATCACAACTCTACCTTCAAATCAAAGTCCTGTGAAGGTGGATGCAGGCCCTGTTGCACCAGTTACCGTGACAGTACCTACTTCTACGCCACAAGGTTGATTATAAGCTTAGCAGATGCATCGTTTGTCAAAGATAGTTATAAATGCTAGTTATGTGTAAATCAATAGACTTGCTGGCTTGACACTTGTATAATCCTTTGGCATCAATTGAACACATCATACCATGTTAGATCTCAAATATACGATTTTGCACTACAGCTTCTTTTATTGATGTGAATGGTTTTGGGGTGAAAGGACAGTATAAAAAGACATGAATTGACTGCAGTGCCTAGGTTTTTTAGGAAGGTTTAATGCCATGGCATATACTACGATAACATATTGTCTTTATTTTCCGTTGGAGATCTTCATTCGTGTTTCTAGGATCATTTCCTTAAGTTATATGAATTGAGATTGGAAGGCCACTAATTAAGTTGCTTATTTCTTATGTGTCTTTGCATCAAAGAAGATGATTTTTCATCCTATAGACTGTCATTAATACTTCTTCCTTTAAATTATCATTTTGGAAGACATTCTTAACATCAAGCTAATGAAGAGGCCAATCTAGATTGGCTGCTAAGGACAACAAGATTTGTTAGGATATGTCAAGTGTAAGTGGACTCATAACATTGAGCATTAAGGTTTTGGGTTAAGATGTATTGTTGAGCCTACTTATATGCTTCCTTTTCTTACTGTTATCAGAGCATAGGATATGGTTGGGAATTATGTGAAGATAAGATGATGTTGGAAGCTTTAGTTTCAGCAAGGACTTGGTATTTGTAGCGTCTCTAGTATGGGGGAGCTTGTTGCATGGTACTAGTCTTGCCTTGTATTGGTACTATCCAAGTTATATTTTACCATCTCTTTCCTTGAGGAAGATCTACTTCTTCCCATCTGCCATTCTTTTTTAGGCCTTTCATCTTTTTCAAATAGCTTTTCTCAACTTAGGAATTGTAAGATCCTCAATATCATACAGCATCTTTATTCTATCAAGATCAATGGTGAAGGCATAATATTGAGGTGAAAGGGTTTTATAAGATGCAAATTTATCTGTAGGATATAAAGAGCAATGGGAAGATCAAGATTATCAACTTCAGTTATAGGTTTGGAATCATCAGGATTACCTTGCTCTTCTTCTTCTTCTTCTTCTTTTAATTATCTTCACTTTGCAGGTCAAGATCTAGCATTGGTTTACTACTTGGTTTCTTCATCCGTACTTAGATAGTCAAGTCCTTCCCATTTGTGTTATTTGCATTGGTGTCTCCTCTTGTGTTAGGATTCACTTCAGTTTCTGGGATGGGAATATTTTCTACCATGGTGCTACTCTTAGGATTGATACTACTCTTAGACTTGGCACCCAAGGGTAGTGAGGAATTTGTAAAGCTCTTTCTTCCATGGGTTGAAATTCACTCCAACTCTCCCTCAAATTGAAGACTGAGGGTAAAATGGGTTTCATCATTAAATGTGACATCACAACTAACACACTCTTTTTAATAGGGTCATATAACACTTGTACCCTTTTTGAGATGCAGAATAACCAAGGAACACACATTTGACAGCTTTAGGATTAAGTTTTCCATTGTGATGAATGTGAACATATACAATGCACTCAAAAAATTTTAAAGGAAGTTTATTCTCAAGTTAAAATGTGGGATAATTGGTGTGGAGAACTTAGAGAGGGGTCTTTAAGGATGGGGTTTTGCTTGGCATTCAATGGCTAAGATTGGTAGCATTTAGGATAGCATTGCCCCACTAAAATTTAAGAACATTGCTAATGCCTTGAAAATCTCTGGAATATGTCTATTCTTTCTCTCAAGGACTTTTGGGTAGAATTTGTCGACTCTATTAAGGTGTTGTTCAAGTATTTTATGCCATTATCTATATGAAGGACTTGAAAACAGGAGTTGTGAACAATGTCCTATATTTCATGTCTACTTGGGAGAACCAGGACACTGTTTATTGTTAGGCTCATATCATTTATCAGCCAAGACAAGCCCCATTGAGTTTTCAGTCTTCTATCGTCGTTATAAGGCCTGAGTATTCAATGCGTCTGACAAGGGTGTTTCGCTAGCGAGATATTTGACCTTTCAACAACCTTTAACAAGTTTTATTGCCTGGGCTAGCTCACAGTAACTTTTGCCATTCAGCTTCTCTGGATTTTTCATAACCGTTGGCCTTTTGAGGTTAGAAGTCATTGACATGGGACCTTTGAGCTTTAACTTGGCACAAGTTGGACATGGAGGAGCCATTGAGGCTAGAAATCATTTCAAAGTGTGTAACTTCCTCACCTAAGTTCAATTCCGTACTAGTTTGAGGCTCATTGTCTTTGATTTCTAGCTTATGTTGTAATCCCATGTGAATCATTGCATTGAAGATGTGATGGGTATCTAAGTGGGATGGGGAATCTTACCCTAAAAGCTAGCTATTGAGGTTTGAGAACTAGCTCACTTAAATATCCCATTAAGCATCCCATACTACTCAATGTGAGACTCGGTATGTCATACTATCAAGTCTCCATCAAGATGATTTTTATTGATCTCACAACATTACAATAGAGGAGAATGATAGAAAATCATTTAAGATGGTTTGGTCATGTGAAAAGAATGTAGTAGAGGCATTAGTAAGGAGGTGCAAGCAAATAAACTCTAGCCCTATGAAGAGGGATAGAGGAAGATCAAGAAGGACACTTTAAGAAGTCATTAATCAAGATCTCTCTATTAATGGCTTATTAGAAGAATTGATTTCAGACAAAGCTCAATTACATCGTGCAATCATTGTAGCTAACTCTTTTTAGTGGGATAAGGCTTTGTTGTTGTTGTTGTTGGCACAATATTACAATACATACAGAGCATCCCCTTTGATATAAAAGGGGGAAAGCATGATACGGAGGATATACACAATTAGGGGGGAAAAAATATAGAGCCAGATATTTACAACCCCATGCAATTAATTCGATTAAATTCTGATGATTCTGATTTTACCATATTTCTTCTTTTACATGTTGTAATATTTGTTGTAAGATCTATTAATATGTCTGCTTTTTCTATGAATTTTTTTAGTTAATGGATCTATCGCAAACCGGCAACCAATTCCTGCTGGGAATATGGCCCCTGCTACTATAAAAGTGGTAAGATCCTCAATTTCCCTGTATCAAATCATTATTAAAATTTAGCACTGATTTTTTTTTTTTAAATTTAAATCTCAAAATGATCCTGAATTTATCACATCTCTTCAGGAGCCTGTTCCTGTTACTTCCATGGTATCAGGACCTACTTTTCCTCATATGTCATCAGTTCCACGTGCTCCTAGTCAAGCTGTCCCAGGCTTGCAGACTTCATCTCCATCTTCTGCTTCTCAAGATATTATGCCAAGTAATGAAAATACACAGGATGTAAAGCCCATGATGCCAGTGTCACAGGCCCTGCGTCCAGTGGGTCCTGCTCAAGCAAATGTCAACATTCTTAACAATCTTTCTCAAGCACGACAGGTCCTAAGTGGAGGAACCTCAATGGGACTTCAGTCAATGGGTCCAACTCCCGTGGCTATGCACATGTCAAACATGATATCCAGTGGAATGGCGTCTTCTGTACCAGCAGCTCAAAATGTATTTTCATCTGGACAGTCAGGCATAAATTCAATAACTAGTTCTGGATCTCTTACTGGTCCCGTGCAGGTTGGAGCAAACTCAGGTCTTGGTTCATTAACTTCAGCCACATCAAATATGTCTGGAAATTCAAATATTGGGATTTCACAACCATTGGGAAATCTGCAAGGTACTGTTAGTATGGGTCAGCCAGGGTTAGCCATGAGCCAAGGAAACATTGCAGGAGCACAGATGGGAGTTAACACGAACCAAAATGTGATGAGTGGCCTTGGTCCATCAGTTGTCTCTTCTGGCACTGGTACAATGATTCCTACTCCTGGAATGTCTCAGCAAGTACAACCGGGGATGCAACCACTTGTTGTGAATAATGCAGCAGCCAATATGCCTTTACAGCAACAGACCTCAGGTGGTATGCAATCTACACAATCAAAATATGTGAAGGTTTGGGAGGTTTGTCTTGATCCCTTTTTAGTCCTTGTAATTCTGCCTCTTAAGCTTTTACTTTCATGCATTTTCCCTTTTCCTTACTTGAGAATATTTTAGACTAATTGGCATGGAATATGAAATCCTACCATTTTCTCTATAATGAATTTTGTCCAGCATCAGTTGAGCATCATGCATTTTTCATCAGTTTCTTTATATTTGATAAGAATAATTTGTCACTTATGCCTTATAAGGCTTAAACTTGAGTTATAGCATGATTGGAGTATGTTTTTGAAGTATTACTGCTAATCATTTTTTGCCATCTAATTCGAAACTGTTATTTGATATGAAATTAAGTGTTCAATTTAGAAAAATCAAGGCTGTTATTGCAAACTGCAATTTTCATTTTAGTTGCAATGGTTGCCTTTTCTGTTATGGTTCACTAAGGTAGACCACAGTTTTGTCAATTCCCCATTTTGTTGGATCATGTCTTTGTTTTTCCGTTAGTATGTTTAACTTGAAGTGAATATTGGATGTTGATAAATTCAGTTTATGTATCTTAGATGGATGGCCTTTCGAAATCCTCTGCTGCGTCTTCACTTCTTGCCTACATTGTGTTAGATTATCATTATCACTATTTCTACATATCATAAATGTCTGTATTGTAGGTTGCATTATACCTTTTCTGCTTTGCCACCACGTTCAATTTTTATTTATCCCATGTAATGCAATGGTCATAACTTGTACTACCTTATTCTTTGATAAATTATGGATGGTTGACATTATGAAATGGACAATATCATTGCTAAGAGGTGAGGAAAAATATTGCTGAAAATTCTTGTTACCTTGTGTTTATACCAAGGTTTTAAAAATTGAACCAGTCATTGAATTGGTCGAGATAATGGTTCACGGGTTCACTAGTCGAGCCGATTGATCATAAATTAACATATTTTTACTTTTGTATTGCAATGGATGATTATAAGTATAAATATAGACATAGGATGGTCATTTACAAACATTTTAAAGGCAAATAGAAACTAAAATATTATACATTTTATTTAAAAAAATAGAGATAAATAATTTAAAATACAAATATGAAGTTTTTGTCTACATATTGAGGAAATTTTTATGAACAATAAAAAACTAATCAAAGATCAATTAAAGAAGAAATTTATATTGGAGAGAAAGACTAAAATGTTTTATGTTCTTTCAAGTTGTGATCATCAGGCTTTTTTTGTAGGCCAGTTTAAACTGAAATTTAAAATATTTTGATCAAGAAAAAATATAGATAAATACTATGAAGAGCAAATATGAAATATATGTTTCCATTATCAATAAAAAAGTCATGAATATTGACAAAAAAATCACCAAAGATGAGATGAAAATGGAAAAAGAAGTTGTGGCCAAACAAGGACTGAAGGAGCGTGCTATGGTAAGAAGTGAATCGCACATCGTGGGGGGATGAAAGATGGAAGGGACAGGGTACTATATGAAAGGAAGCAATGAGAGGCAATCAGGCAAGGAGTAGTGTGCAATGGAAGCTCTTGTGAGCTTCAATAGGCCAAACATTTTTGCACAAGACACAACTTAGTCTTTTTGTCTTTTAATGCAAGCGTTTTTTTTTTTTAAAAAAAATTGGCTCAGTTCAACTCGTCATTCTGGGTTTTGATCGGGTTATGTGGTCTTTGACTTTTGCTTGTTTGAGGTTTCAGTGAACTAGACTCAGAGCTGGTTCAAGATCCGATTAGTTGAATTAGTCAGTTTGGTTTGGTTTTTGAAACCTTGGTTTATTCTATTGTGGTTCATTAAATCTAATATGCCCTTACAATTCTGCTTTAATCTCATTGAAATTATCTCTTTATTTTCTAAAATTCTATAAATCAATTCTATGTTGTCCAGTGGCTGTAACCATAAATAATAGTAAATCATCAAATGATAAGTAGGAATTGCCCCAAAGCATAAGTCATGAAAATTTCTCATTGTTATTCTTGCATGCTTTTGCATAAGTTTTATATTCTTAATTGTTGCAATTCATGCAGGGGCGTTTATCTGGGCAAAGACAAGGACAGCCCGTAATTATCACCACACTAGAGGTATGATCCCAAACCTTGATAATTATCTATCTGACTTCTCTATTCATTTTATCTTAGATCTCCTTACTTGACCATTGCAATAATCTTGTTCATTTTCAGTTTCATTCCTAATAGTGGTAATTCCTGTAATTCTGTGGCACGCATTAATTTTATGAATACTTTCTTCATGGCAGGGTTATCGGAGTTTTTCAGCTTCTGAATCGTAAGTTCAGGAAGTTTTATTCTTGAAAAAATATCAATTAAGGACTGTTGAAGGAAATTTATATCAATGAAGGATTACTTATTGTCAAAAATTGAATGGATACTTGTCGATTTGAGTTAGTCTTCTATCAATAAGTTTCCATTCAGATTTTTACAATTTATTTTAAATTAATAACAATCCATTAGGGATTTTTTCCATTCAGATTTTGATAACAACTAGTCCTTGATTGATATAAAATTTCTCCAGCAGTCCTTCATCACTATTTTCCCTTTATTTATTCTTTCTTCATGAAGTCTAGGGATCATTTTCAGTGGTTAGACTTTCTAAAACTGTCAATCCAATATTCTTTTCTTTATGGGTCGTTAAGTTGATTTTGCATTAAAGAAATTACTGATTCCTGCTGCCTTGATGGCTTACTTGGTTTTTCAAAAAGTTTGAGTTACTAGATGATGATTTCCCTCGAACCATGCTTTTGGTAGTGGGTAACCATTAATTTCTTTTTTTGGGGCCAAAAACAGGGTAACTATTATTAACAAGCATTTTGAGAAGCTAACTTTTGAGTTTTTATTCTACTGATCCACGAAAATCAATAAATTCCTAGAGTTTTTGATTTTGGGACTTAGAATAGAAAAGGTCAAACTTCTAACCTCCTCACTTGAGTTTTTTATCCTTAACAAGTATAAGGAGTAGACTCTATGAACAATAGAGATTATCTCTTTTGAAGTCTTGAGGGAAAATGGAAGATCTCTTCTAACTAAATTGTAACATATACAAGGAATGAGATTTGAACTCCTAACCGCTTGCTCAAGTGACAAGAGCCCCTACTACTCAATGTGGATTTTAGAGAAGAAAATATTTTCACTTATCATTCATGTGGGATGTGATAGTGTATACATACATATGTATAATTATATACAATTGAAGAGAAAACAATAGAGCTCGAAAACAAGGTGAGAGGAGAAATGAGTAAGAGTTATGAAAGGACACCACATCTTAATAGGCTCAAGTTAACGTGTCCTTTCTTTTTATTTTATATTAGTTATTGGGTCCAACTTTATCTGATGTGAGATTTACCAAATCCGCTTAAGTTCACTCATATTTGGATAACCTAACAACCTCCTCTTCAAATGTGAGTCCACAAGCTCCTCATATCAAACATGCCCCAAACACCAAGTTCCTGTGCTTCCAATTAGGTCCAGTCCGGTTTTTGAGTTTCAAATGGTGTGGTGCATACGAGTCCCTATTATAGCTAGTCAGTCCCATTTTAGACTTCAAATTGTGTGAAATAACGGGCTTACAAGTCTTGAGCGAAACTAGGCTCCGATACCATGTAGATTTTAGAAAAGAAAATATTTTCTCTTATCATTCATGTGAGATACCGTAGTGTGTATACATACAACTGAAGAGAAGATAATAGAGTAAAGACTAACAAAGACTAATAATGTACAATAATTACTCAATATTCCCACACACACACTAATTTTAGCTGGTATCCCACTTTAGTTATAATTCTAGTGACATATGAAATCCGTTTCAGGGTTACCTTTACGAGTTATATAATCTTTATCTAAAGAACATGTTTTTAATGGGGCAAAGTGTGCATGAGTATTCTGTATTATGTGCAAATGGAAGTGATTGTAACTATTTGGGTCGACATTTCTCCCATTTCTTCATAGTAAATTACCTTAAGACATTTGAGATATTTAACTTTTCATGACACATCATTTGCTCCAAATTTATATCGATATGGCTGAAGCAGTATGGGATTTTCCTAAATGTCTTCCTGGCCTAAATCATCAGCAGTTGCTTTAAATTGTCACCTATATTGGCCTAACTGGGCATTAATTATAAAAAGTTAATGACTGCTTTTTATGGGTCCCAGGCTTGCATCAAACTGGCCGCAAACAATGCAAATAGTTCGTCTTATATCTCAAGACCACATGAATAACAAGTAATTTCTTTTTTGTGCTCAGCTTGGGTCTTGCTCATTTATGTTAGAGTGTGTAGCTGTATGTGTTCAGACATTATTCTGTATATATTCTGACATGACAATGTTTTGACAAAAGGCAATATGTTGGGAAGGCGGATTTCCTAGTTTTTCGCGCTATGAACCCGAATGGGTTTCTTGCTCAGCTTCAGGAAAAGAAGCTGGTAATTTATCAGTGCATCTTAGTTTTTGTTTCCCTTTTCTTTAATTTCTTCTACTAATCTACAACAATCTCATTAATCGATAAGCCTCGCTCTAGAAAGTAAGATAAAATGTAGCTGTTATAATGCGAGGATCTCCAATTAATTAAATTTGAAGATTAAAAAAAATCACTTCACTAAAAATATAATAGCGTAGATTACATGGAACTATGACTCTGTCTGCATGATGTTATCTTCAAAAGTAATTATTTATATTAATGTTGACTTTGTTCTGCATTCCCCTAAAAAGAATGGCATGTCCCATATTGTCCTGTAAGCATAATAATTGCATGCCATATATTACTTATTAGTGGGAAAAAATAACCAATTGATAAAGTGAACCTTATATATGAGTTTATGATATGCACTGAAATTGTATGCTTAATTATCTGTGTTTAAAAGTTGCAGTTTATCAATGTCTTGAATACAATGGTTTCAAATTTGTCTAGGTAATGAACTAGAAAGTTTTGTTGCCAGATATAAGTTGGGATCACAAGTGTATAACCAGTCGCTCAAATTTTGTAAATCACACTTTGTATAATTATCTGTGTTATTTCAAACTCCATTTTTGAGATGCTGAATGAGAATGGATAATTTACTTGTTTCATTGAAGTATTGTAACTATTGTAATTTTTGTGCCTGCTGCCTGCATATGCTACGAGCTTGTTTTGTGGGTATTCTTTGTTTGCTTGCATGTAAAGGGATAGTTATTGTAAACTTGAATTAGGAGAACGCGGGCAGGGCATACTTATGAGACCCATACAAAACAAACGGGCAGCATTTCCTGTGTTTTTCTTTTAGTGAGTAGAAGAAGAATTGACTAGAAAAAGAAGAGAAGTGCAGATGGGGGCATAAAATAAAGGGTTAAAGGGCATTTTTTCCCTTCAACTATTCTCTTAGGCATTTAGTATCCTAAATTTTCGTGCGGTGCAGTTTTCTTGTTCAACTTTTGAAAATGGTGCATTGGGTACTTTGCTATTAAAAAATTAACTTTGACTGTTAGTTGATCCAAAATATTCAAGAAAAGGATCTCAAAACTTACAAAAAAGGACCCATAAAATTACAAATAAGTATTCTATAAGAAAATTGATATCGATTAAATCCTCTTTGAGGTCCCTTTTTATATATGCACAATTTTCAAAAGTGGAAGAGGGAAATTGCACCACTTGAAAGTTTAGAATATCAAATGTTTCTGAGGGAATAGTGAGAAGCAAAATTGCTCGTTAACCCTAAAATAAAATCTCCCTCCTAGATCAATTAAAAAATAAAAAACTGAGCAAAAGAGAGGAAAGGAAAAGAGAGAGGGCTTTACGGGGCTTTCCAATCTTCTATAATTTAAATTCTCTGCTACAACTCAACACCACAAAAATAAGAGGTGGCTATATAATCATCTACTTAATATGATCTGTCTGGATGGACCGTTTATATTTCTTGGCTTTGGTATGCTTATTCTGGTGCTGAATTTCTTTTCTTTTCTTTTTTTTTTCCTCATTTCAGTGTGCCGTTATCCGATTACCCTCACAGACGTTGCTACTATCTGTCTCTGACAAAGCCTGCCGCTTGATTGGGATGCTTTTTCCTGTGGTGAGAAATTCTTAACTCAAGCCTCTTGAACATTAAATTTTCTTCTCTTTCATGGGAATAGGGATGAATGAAATCCGCACTTTTTTCCGTAATCAATTAGCTCACATATCAAAAGAATTTCTGAGTTTCTTTGAAGTATGCCGATTTTAAGGTACATGCAGCGTTGTGTTTATTATTATACTGTCGTGAGAGTTCGTGTGAGTACTTCTCAATTAGTTGTTGATACTTCCATTTAATGCTATTTACACTGTAGTAAGCATAGAAGTTGAGCTACTCTTCTCTTGCCCTGGAGATGAGTTAACTATAAAGCTTAGACACCTATTTTCAAACATGTCATGTGACCAACGTGGTTCTGATGAAAGCATAATCATGACACTATCAACAGGCAACTGACCTTTGTTTTGATTATTTATACAGAACGGTCATTATCTATTTGTTGTTGTTGTAAAAATGTTGTATCATGTAAAATATTCTTTATTTATGCAGTACATTACTATACTTGCACTTTATATTTTGAAAGAACATTGTTGAATGCCCATTCACGAAGTGTAGGATACTTGGTATGTGTGCTTGTGCAACCAAAACTTCTACCTTCATCTGTAGTCGAAAAACAACCTAAAACTCTGCACTAAGGCCCTGTTTCGTATGAGGACTGGTGAGGTGGGACTAAGACTGAGATTGGCTAGCACCAGCTTTTTATGTTTGGTACAAGATAATGAAAAATTGAATCCCGATCCCATCTATGTGGGATTACCCAATACCACCATCCTGCTGGTATTGAAAAATTAGTCCTGAGATTGAATATTTTCAGACGAAAGCCCTCTACCCCATCTGTTTTCCTTGTGTTGCCATCGCTCGCTGGAGGATCAGCGCCCCTGGCTCCCTAACATCTGCTCCCCCTTCCATTTCCTTGCTCATCGTCGGCATCCTTGGAAGATCAGATTTGGTGAGCTCCTCGTTATCAGCATCCCTAGAACTTTAGATTTGGTGAGCTAGACAGTAATCCCTCTCCCTCCTCGGCCCAGATCTGGTGAGCTTGACGTCAGTGGAGGCGGTGACTGAGGAGGACGAATGTGGTTCAAATTTGGAAGCTAGATTTGGTTATGCAAGTTCAATAGTAATTGAATATAATTATGCAAGCTCATTAAAAATCAAGTTCAAGTTATTGTTGTTTTAGTTGGATTGAATGGTGTTGACGGTGGAGTGGAGATAGTGGCAGGAAAGAGAAGGATGATGATGATGATGATGAAGATGAGGGAAATGTTGTCTTTTAGCTACTTTTTTTTTTTGGGTTAAATTTGAGTCTTATTTATTGTTATTATTTTTTAGTCTTATGACATACTAAACTGCATTTTAAAACTTTTATTCTCACTCTTATCCTAATCCCATTCCCAATCTTTTAAAATTCAATACTTCGTACCAAACAAGGTCTAAATCTCCTTGACAAACCCAATTCTTATGAAAAAATCCAAAGAATAATGGTATCTTCTTGTTTATACTTCCACTATTTCTCTGAAAATTGCTATGCAACAGGACATGGTGGTATTTAAGCCACAATTGTCCAGCCAGCAGCAGCAACAAATGCAGCAACAGCAGCAGCAGCATCAGCATCAGCAGATGCAATCGCAGCAGCATCTTCCGCAGCTGCAACAGCAACAGCCACAGCAGGTTGCTCACATGCAACAACAGCAACAACTTCCCCCGGTGCAGCCGCAACAACTCTCCCAGCTGCAACAGCAGCAGCTCCCGCAACTGCAACAGCAACAACAGCCGCTTTCACAACTGCAGCCGCAGCAGCAGCTTCCTCAACTTCAGCAACTGCAACATCAGCAGCAGATTCCTCAGCAACAGCAAATGGTTGGTGCAGGGATGAGTCAAGCAGCGTATGTTCAAGGTCCGGGACGGTCACAACTGGTATCTCAGGGACAGGTATCATCGCAAGGTGCACCCAACATGGGTGGAGGGGGATTCATGAGTTAGCTCCGTTCTGCATATTGTTCCTCCACAATCTATGCCAAGATTATATGAGAGTCATGATGTATGAGTCTGAACCTCCGAATGCTGTTGAAAAAATTGATCACTTGGCAGTTTTAGAGATAGGTTGAGTTTCAAATTGCAGATAGTGTAGCCTTGTGATTATTTATTTTGCTAATGAACCGTAAAGAACCATGCAGGAGGCTTTATATTGTTATAAGAATTAATGTTAATAACGGAATGCAAGTTTGCTAGCTAGATACTGTGGCATAGGTTGCCCTTTCCCCCCGTTTATATGGGCATATATTTGGGTGGTGATGTTTTTTTTTTTTTTTTGGGTCAAAGTGTGATGACTGTTTTTAAAAATGAATTGGTAAAGAACTGATTCAAGGTTCATTCAGTGGAACCAAATACACGTTTTTGTAAATATATATATACATATATATATTTATATCACTGTTAAATTTCATAATTAATATTTAAAATTAAATAAATTAAATTGAGTCTTATTTATAATTACATATTGAATTCAACAGTTAATTAAAAATTTGTCATCATAGTAATTATCAAGTAAATCTATAATTATTGGTAATCATGTGTAATAACGCTTGTAAGATATTTAAAATCAGAAGTAAACAATTATCCAACAAGTTAATTCCATTAATTGTACTGATAATAAATAATTAAAAAAAGTTTAAATTGTTGAAGTAGTTTGGTTTTGGTAATTCTCTCCGCCTCCTAGCCTAACCAATTTGCAATATAGCCACTCGTACAAGTATTTTGAAACTCGAATCAAATCGGATTGTTCGACTATTAACCACTCAATAAAATAGTTTGGTTTAACCATTTAGATCATTTGAACATTTAGACCGGGTTGATCTAGGTGGGTTTAAGAGAATCAATTTTGACCTAAAAATTAAAGTGGATAATAGGGAGAAAAAAAAAGAAATTTAAGCTCAGTTGTTCAAATTCATGATTTCTCTTCTCTAATCTTTAATTCTTTTTTATCTTCTCTTCGCTAATCTTTGATCTCTCCTCCATAAACTAAACTCAATGTCTAATCTTTCCTTCAACCTTTGCCTCTAATTCTAGTGATCTAGTCTTTAACATTGAAATTGAAAGCTCACGAGTCATGATATGACGGCGCACTTCCAGCTCTAGCGTCTTGCTTTGAAATTGCAAGCTTGTGTCGACATCCCTTTGCCTCCAACTCCAGCGGTTCAGGAGTCTAGCCTTTGACATCAAGATTTCAAGCATCATCGATAAATTAATGTTTTATTTATATATTTGTGTATATAAATATTATTTTTTATTTAATTTTTATATCACCGATTCAACCACCGATCTAATCAGCTCAAGTATTCAACCATAAGGATTGCGACCTGTTGCTCTTTCAAGTTTGATGTTTGGTTTGAGTTTCAAAACATTGACTCGTACTATAAAAGGGGTCAAATTCATAAAATTAAATTATTGAATAGAAAAAGGTTAAAGGGATAAAGTTACCCTTATAAGTAATTCGTATCCATAATTTTCCATTAACATAATGTTCCTAAAATTTTAAAAATAGTACAATGTCATCTTTGACTAATATTGATTATTAATTAACTAATTTTGATTAGGGCTAAAAGAAAAATTTGCTTTGAAAGTTTGTTAAAAAGAACAGTTAGTATTCTAAACTTTTACCTGAAATAATGTTATTGAATTGCTAATGTTTAAATTAAAAGAATACAAAAACCTATCAACAATTGTTGGCAAATGAAAGGTGCGTATTGCTTTTATTCTAAATTTTGACTTAGTGATGTTTAATTATAATCAAACCATTATCGGTTGTCAAATCATTCTTTTAAATTGAATATTGATAATCTATTTTTTTGGCCAAGAATATTAATATTAATAATCTAAAAATAGTGTGGCAATTGAAAGTTTATGATATTAATTACTCTAAATTTTTCGGATAAAATTTTCCTTAATCCTCAAAATTATTCAACTAATGGTGAAATGTTAGTCAAATATAATAATATTACACTATTTTTAAAACTTATAGGGGAAAAAAATTACACCAATCTAAAGTTAATAAGATATTAGAACTAATGTGATACTTATCTAAGACTGAGAATCCAATGGCTCTTTATGATATCTTCACAATGTTGTCATATCAAGCATGAGAATTCTGTATATATGGCGTGGTCGGGTCAGCTTGAGAATATTCTAGGCGTAACCACAATACTGTTACTGTGCTCGATTTTTACATTTGGTGAATGTTCTCAAATATTCTCTCTTGTTTACATTATCTTCGTTGCGTGACAAGCAACCGACTCCTATTATTTTTTATTTTTCTCCATTTAATTAACATTATTCCATGTTAGTCCTTTTTTAACTTTTTTGTGCACTTCCAAGAGTGAATTTGGATTCAATGCATATAATATCTAAACTGTTAAAATCTAAATTAATGATTCTAATTTCATATTTTATTTAAGATTAACAAATGAGTGACATTATCTAAACGGTTGATTTGGATTTCAACAATTCAGATATTATATATGCTTAATATTTATACTAAATATAGTTATCGAATCCAAATTCTTGGAGAGTCAGCACCTATTCAAATACCACGTGTACATAATATGCAACTTTTATGTGTGTCACATCATTGTTTAAAAACGCAGATTTAATTTACAAGTGGTAGAATGTCATTGCAATTAACATTCGGCTAAGCAAGTTAATAAAAGCTGAGAATTAATAAGAATTTTGCAAATAATTATCTAAAAAGCCATGAGGTTAAATATTATTATAAATGTGAGACTTTTGTTAATGAACAAGCTGTAAATTAAGAATTTTTATAGGTATTTTTTTAAATTTAAATACTTGCTTAAGATCAAATAAATCTCAAGATCCAACTAAGTGGTCAGAACATTGGTTAGGATGAGGATTAAAAATATATAAATGAAGTTTTGAGTCTTGTAAGTTTGGTTGATGAGATCGAGATGTGATCTAATAGTATTTTTGTAATTTATGAGATCTATGTTTTGCTAATTTGGTTTGGTGGGTCAGGATGTGACTTGTATCTTATAAAGATCATGGATTTGACTCTCCTTGAGAATATAACCACCTCATAATTAGTAGGTAATTTATAACGACTTTTATAAGTGCTTTTTAAACTACCCAAAGCTTAATATAAATCCTTAAGATAGACACATCTTAAATCGAGTTTTTATTGGGAAAAAAAACATGTTTCTTTTTACCAAACCACCATGTGGAAGATAGCTTTAATTTTCTTTCACGATCGTTAATAAAACAATCACTTGATTAATCAGTCATTTTGTCAACGGTAGAAATTAAGCGCATGTGTTTTGATAAGCTTTCATATGTGAGGATGGCATGGCTCTATCCTTATTTGAAGATCGACTTGGACTAATGATTTTTTTTGCACATGATTGTTGGGACACACACACAAACCTGGCTTTACAGGGAATAGAAGGCCAAGTGATCCCTTAGTTAAGGTTTTTTAGAGGTATATACTCCCTCCATTTAAAAATGTAAAATATTTTTTAAAGAGTTGGATGTTAAAAAATATAAAATATTTTTAGTCTTTCAAAGTATAATTATTACTTTTTTTTAAAAAAAAAAAGTGCTCCTATTGATAGTGACTTTATAGTTATTATAAGGTATTTAATAAGGATAAATATAAAAAGATAGGGTTAGTTTGAAAGTAGGTAATTAATTTATTGAAAGGTAAAATTTAATTAAAAATAATTTATATTTTTAAACGAAGAGAGTATATATATATACACACAAATGCGTATAGAATAAACAATTAATAATATAGAAAATAAAGTCCCAATTTGAGTTTATGAATGTGTCATTACGAGTTGGACGATAAGGAAAATTCTTCCAAAAAAACAAAAAAAACCTCAAACCCAAAATGATAATTTATATTTAATACTGACCCCACACACACACACATTTCCCCAGTCAGAGACACGTGTGTATACATATGTGTTGATATATAATACATCACTTTACAACGTGAATTTTACGAGAATCTTGCATTGATCTTGTCTCTTTCGTATTCTTTGCGTCATTGTTGTGTGTGTGTGTGTGTAATCTAATATTACAATATTCTTGTTTTCTAGTCATATTCAAATAATTAAATATATGACATATAATTCCTTATTATTCTGAGTTTTGTTTTACTCTAATTTTGATTCCTTTAAGACCATATATATAGTCCCTTTCTATTATATTGATCAATTTTTATATATTATTAATGTTGTGAGATAAGACTTAAGAGAGAGATAAGTCGATAATGACTAACAAAGTTTGAATCAAAATTTTTATTATTAACAATCTTCATTTCGCATTCATAAATATCTAGCTAAAAAGAAAAATAATATTCAATTTAAACGATATGTGATCTTTTGATAAGAACGATATCGCTTGCAATAATAAAAATATGCAAAACATTATTTTAGGTGTCAAATTCAAGAGGAGCAGGCATTAGTCCAATCAACTTTAACCCAATAGACTGTTAATGAGTTATTGAAGTAAGCATGCATGCATATATACATATTGATTATGAATATGAAGTGTTTTAGAAGTCTCGTTTTGTTTAAAATATAAAGCATTAATCATATTTTATATTTTCTTAAAATATAAGACATTAATTATGTTTCATATTTTTTAATTCAAAATATAAGTCATTAAGTAATTGATAATGATATTTTAAATAAATCAAATATTATATTTATTCCATTTAAAAGTATAATTGAAAATATGTAAAAAATTTAAAAATCAAAATTTCAACTAAATGCTTTAAAAAACATAAATTAATTAACAATAAGTTATGTGAAAGTCCAAAAGAAATAATTTAACTTACCGAGGGATGCTTAATCTGACTAGTTGAGTGAGTTGAATTGACTTATTTTATAATAATCTTGAGTTTGAACCATAAAATATATATAGCCACATTAAATAAAATGTAAAAAGTATTTCTAAGGTGCTTATGAAAATGTCATTAGTAAGAAATGGCCTCATATAGCAAGGCTCTAAATTAGTTTGGGCGGATGGTAGTTATATTTTCACCTTTTACCATATGATGAAATGGGAAAAACAAAGTAGAACAGTTCAATTTATAGAGTTGTTGGGGTTTTTCATTGAGGCCAAGAAAATTATTATAGTATAACAAATTACAATAAAATTTAACAATTTTTAGAGTATTTTGCTTTTTTTTTTTCTTTTAAAGCTAGCAGTAGCCAATTGTCGGTAACAAAGGTTTACATGTATGTGAAAAAAACAAAATCTATATCGTTTAAACATATTCAAACTTATACAAGCATGCATATATAACCACGCGTACATACACACACATAGTGCGAGTATTTATTGAATTAAGCCATTAAAGCTTGCAATTATTATTATTATTATTATTTTTTAAAAAAGAACTGAGTTTAGTGAATTATACACACCCAATTTATATATGTTTAAGAATCAACTGAGCCAGCCTGCTTGAACCTCTTATGTATTATCTTTAGAAAGGTATGTTCTGTGCCCCCCCCTCTCTCTCTCTATATGTATATATATATATATATATATATATGAGATTAATTAGTTATTAAGTTTTGTTAATTGCACAAAAAAAGTTCAGATATCAGTTTTTTCTTTAAAAAAAAAAACAAAAGGTTCAAAGAGTGGGGAAATGAAGCAAGAAAGTAAGGAAAGAAGACTCTGCTAAATGACAGAGTTGAAGTCGATTTCATTGCTCGTTAGCTCTAACAATTATTTTTTTAATTGGTGCTAATTGCGATGATCACGTGAAAATTTGATATATGTTCTAGAGTGTAAAAAAGTAGACTTATTTTATGAGATGCAGTTTAAAATAATTAATTTTTCATAAATATTTAAAAACGCATATATAATTAAAGACTTTCGCAGTTAAATATATAATTAATTAATTGATTAGCACTGATATAATTCTTTTTGATTAAATTTAGCTAAATCAGGTTAAAATATAAACAAAAACGGACAATCACAAATAAAGACATGCCAAAATAAGTCATAATCATTGAGGAATATAAAATCTTGAAATTGAATTTAAATACTGGGATTTTTTCTGTTTACAAATATTGTTATAATTAAAATTAAAATACTTTTAAAAATAAGTGATTAAATGTGCATTTTAGATATGAGTGTTTTAATCAAAATATAAATTGCAAAAAAGGACCATAATTCTGAAATTCAATTTCAATATTTTGAGATTCTAAATGATTATTACTAATTTTCACAGATATTTAATTGTGATTTTTTCTAAATAAAATTCCCTGAACAAAAGGGCAGCCTTCAATTGGCGTTCTTCAATAAACGAAGCCCCGGGGAGTAGACGTTTCGTTATCATTCTTGACCAAGACAAGACATAACCAGTTAATGATTTACTTTCACCAAAAAAAGTTAATGATTTGCAAATTATGTATGTATATGTATGTTAACGTGATTACATTCCTTTAATTTTATATAAAATTTTATTTTAATATTTTAAATTTATGAAGTGTCTATACAGTTTTTTAATCTTAACATCATTAATTTTATTACAAAAATTTTTTAAATAAAATTTTAAATATAAACAAAACATTCTTAAAAGTTAACATATTAAATTTAATTTTTAAAAATGATAATAATTGGTAGAAAAAATAATAATTTGAAACTACAGGTGTTAAAGTTAAATGATTAAAAAAATATTTTATGAAATTAAGAAATGAAATTGAAACACTGTATAAAATTATAGAATCAAAAGTATATTTTACCCTACATGGAAGCATCAAGATCTTTGTAAAATCCTCTCTCTAATCCTATTTATAATGTGGATGTGAAGAGAGGGAGAAAAAATTTTGTCTTTTTTTTTTTTGGATAAGCATTTTGGTTCCATTTATAAGTCATGCCATAATTTTTCATTTTACCCTCCATTAAATGTTAATAAGAAAAAAGTATATTACTCCTACATCCCAAATTACAAGATAATTTGAGACAAGATTACTCATACTAATAAAGCTCAATAGTAACACTTTATAAATTTATTTTTTCATAACAAAAACATAAATTTTTCAAGGTGACCTTGGTTTAGTATAAATTTAAATCTACATATTTAATCATTATACTAGAATGATTTCAATTCTCTCTTCATCTAAAGGATAATATTAAAAAACATCATTAACAAAACTTTATTCTTGTCAAATTGTTTTACATTTTGGAACAATGAAATACTTTTAAAGTTATCTTATAATTTGAGATTAATGAAATGTTAAAAAATGTTTATTTAATAGGAATAAAATTAAAAATTTATAAAAATTTTTGACAAAATTCATGAGTTTTTTAAATTTTTTTATTTAAGTGAAACATATTCGAAGTGATTTAAAAATAAGATTATAAAAATATTAATAAAACATTAATAAAAATTTAAAAGTGTTGGATACAATATTTGAGAAATTTGAAAACCAAGATTTTCAACCTCCAAATGACTCCAGTCCAGAAGAATATTTTATTTATAATTATTTAAGTATTAATTAAATTATAGGCAAGGGCGCAAACCCCTCAAGGAGTTGTTGAATGGGGAAACCTACCTCCACATTTAGTTGAGAGAACCTATTATTAATATTCAACACCAACCATTCCTAAGATGAATTGGTACCACTATTTGAGTGGCACTATTTGATTCCCACTGTGTCTTCATTGTCACAAACTTTGTGCTCCAAAATTGGGGAATGGATACTCTAAAGTTGAGAATATGTGAATTTTATAAAATTTATTTTTTTAAGAAAGGGAGAAGAGAGGAAATTTTATGTTTTATAAAAAAAAATAAAATGGAGAAAATATTTTTAAAAAAAATTACCAGAAGTTAGGAATCTCAACCTTAGAGAATTGCTTTGGTAAAATTATATATATCCAATTTTACCAATACACATTGGTTCAATTAGTAATGACATGGCTCATTCAATATTACTAAGTCCTGTTATTAATATGCGAAACTCATTATTGAATAATCTATTATTTATAATTATCTCTAACAAGTACCTTTAAAAATTTAATACTTATTCTAAAGCTTGGAATCTCGATGACTCATAATCTCATTTGTAAATATATATATATATATATATATCCAGGCCCCATCAATTTAATGCTTAACTATCTTGTGGAGATTTTGTTCGACTCTCATGAGATTTCGTTAACATAAATATAATTAGCAAGTGATTGGATGTTTAAATTCTAATCTTGGTGCATATAACAATTTAGTTGGGAGAAGTTTATGTATTATTTTCAATATTTGAGAAAAAATATTCGTTAATGTTGGCAAAACCTATTCCTTATACTTAATATATATATATATATATATATATAATCAGCATCATTTCACAGCAGGTTGATGAAATTTTTTTAATTTATTTTTTTAGAAGCCAAGAGATAGGTCGTAGTCTTTTAAAGACTAAATTCATATAACCATGTGAAAGTGTAACTTGCCCTTTAAATTTCAGGACCAATTTAGGAAGCCTTGGCCCTTGCTAATCTGTGTTGATTTTGGTGATAGTACTAGTATAATACATGCTTTATTATCACACGCTTTAGGCCTAAGCACCCCGCCTGAGCCATTCATATACTGGGCAGGAGTCAAATTATTGAATAGCCCAAACATGTAAATTTTTTTTATTTTTGTAAATAATGTTTATTTCATGATATTATTTTTGGTTGAGAACTATCCTGAATTATATTATTTTTATGACCTTTTTAGACATTTCTTATTATTATAATCTTTTAATCTCTTTCAAAATTTAAAATTTGCTTTTAACTAAAAATTATATAAAAATAATTAATAGTTGTTGATTAGATGTAATTTTTAAAAAAGATTACTTGTGATTTTAATATTAGTTTTATAAAGAATATATGTTAAATGATAATAATAGTATTTTTTTAAAAAATAATTTGTTTATATATTTTTCAAAAAAGTAGTTGTAAAAATTTTTTCAAGGCAAAACCTAGCATAAATACTTGGGCACCTAGCAGGAGTAATCTTGAAGTCGACCCTATCCATGTGCAGCTCCATGATTAATGCAACACTATACCTTGGGATGAATTGGGCCAGCAGGCTTTTTTTTCGGCCCATTCAGCTTATCCAGTATCGACCGGGCTTATGGTTATTCACAACCCAATACCATTGAGTAACTGTCCAAAGGATCTAATCTTCGAAATCCCCCATTTTTCACGCTTCAAACACAGCCCCTTTTGTTTACATATAAAACCCAAATTGGGTTTTAGCAATAAGCACATTAGGCCTTCATGGCAAGATGGAAAAAGATGAAAGCAGTAGTATATCTTTCTTCTTTTTTTCCTTTTTACTTGAAAATATACAAATATCAGGTCAAACTATTCAACAATACCCTAAGAGCTATTTAATGAAAATAATGGACGAGACAATCATCAAATTTCTAATAAGTTGACTCTAAAAATTACATCATCATGTCAGATTATTCTATTCCAAAATTTAAATTTTCAGCAAGAAATTGTTTGGGTTTAACAATATTTCTTATTGATATTTCTAACTGACACCAAGTTATTTCAGATCGATCGTACACCATCAAGGCATGTTGTTCATGTGAGTATTAACTAATTTAGCTTTGCCAAAAAAGACCAGAATTTCGGGCTCCCAAGAGTTTAAGCTTGTCGTAGGCATTATTATTCATTAATGAACATCATTGTGCCCTAAATGGTTAAGAAAACTGTAGTAAAAACAAGATAATTAAAGGTGTGAAACAGAATAAAACTGTGTGGGTGTGAAACACCTAAGGTGTAGTTATCAAGGATTTGCTATCATGTTATCTAAGACTTTCTGTTGTAGATAGAACAAAAAACCTGGATAGTTCTGATACTGAATATTTTATTTTAATTACATAATTAATAGTGCCTTTGTTACATAATATATTTGACTATTATCTATAATCATCCTGAAGTTATAGGTAAAACATTACTGTAAGCTTGAATTTGCTGAATTTCTAACGGCACTCCAGGTGCGGGTTCAAGAACCTTCGAGTTTGGCAACTCTTTTGATAAGAGCTCCTGCATAATAATATTTAATCATTTCCAAAAACATGTTAAAAGGAAGAAGGTACATTTTGAAAGCAATAACTACATCTAATTGACAAAGCTAAAAGCTGTTTTCATTAGTGGAAGATACAAGAACAACCACAAGCCAACCAATGAATTGAGAGATAGTTGCATCCTTGTTAATTAGTATTCTTAGCTCTATGCTAACTGCTAGGAACACCAGAATTTGGAAAGGAATTGAAGGGAAAACTGTAGACAAGTAATCAAATTTGACATTTTAATCAAATGGAAAAAGACAACTTTTGGAAAACTAAAATAAATTAGGACAAGAATTTGAAGGTGTATTACAGTGGACCATTTTTTTTATTTTTTATTTTTGGGCCAATGAATTCTAGTGAACTTTCTTAAATGGCCTAGTCACAAACTTATGCAACTTCTTATTCCCAGAGCAGAAGTACCTTCCCCTATCATTTTGAAAGCAAACAATGTTTTAACAAGTTACAGCCATGTTAATTTCTAGCATATCCCAAATCATAACATGAAGCCAGTTTTACAAAACTCTTATATTTTGCAAAAACAAAACAAATGGTAAAGTGTTGGCAAAATAGCTCAAACCTTAAATGATTCCATTGATCCTTCTGACCGAACTAAGCTTGAAAGGAGCCCTTTGCTATCTAGGTCTCCATTTTTCATTGGCACAATGAACCTATAACACAAAGAAAAAAGGTTACTCTCTCTCTCTCTCACATGCATACATACGCAGAGGCACACTTAGAAGAGAGAACTAAGAAATAAAGCTACGCTCCTGATAAGAAATTAATGGATGATCAGAATCGCCTATTTCAGCTAAAGTTCAAGTCTATGTGTACTTTAAGTATTTCAGGCAAAAAAAGACCTAAAAATTTATATTCAAGCAAATATTCTCATTTCAATGTTATTGTTTAATGGAAGGTAAAGAAACAATCCTAATGAATGATTTAGTATTATTATTACATGAATTAAAAAGACCAATAGTTGGGTCGACCAGAAGAGACTTGACACCCCATCAACAAGGTCTTAAAAGTTTTCATTATTTTGAACGTGAAAATCCACGTTGTGAGAGCTCCTCCTATTTGGGTTTTGATGTAAGTCAAATCCAGATTGATAGTACTGAATATACAAAATTACTCATTTGCACTTAAAAGAGAAGTTGGATGATCATCTTTAAAAAGAAAAAAGAGAAATTACTTAGCTTGCAGCAACTTTGCTAGTTTCACAGCATCTTCCTGTCCTGAAACCAAAGTGAATTTAGGCAAAAGTTGCTTTATGACTGGTGTGATCACAATATCTGCTCGTTCCTTCTCAATGAAACTCTGATTGTACACACAGTGGGGTTCATAGTAAAGAGTCAATTGACCTTGCGGGGATTCAACAATATACCTGCAACAAATGGAGTACCCAATCACTTTACTGAGTACAATTCAAGTGAACATATAAAGAAATTAGATCTACACATAAATTTAGAAGAGCAAAGAAGTTCTGAAAAACTTCACCCGTTCTCAGGCTGTTGCCAAGGAGGTCCAAGAACTGGTCCAGCAGTAGCCTTAACTCTGATCCTAGAACCATTACTTGCTTCAATATCAGAGGTCTGTCCAGGTTCTAAATACGTTACCTGCAAATAAACTAGGTGCAAATGTAAGTGGTAAAGAAGGATTTTGCAAACAACTCCAGTATACGATTAGTTAAGAGATAGATGAAAGCATGCTAAAAATAAAAAGGTAAATAACAATAGGCAGCATTTAGGTCGGAAGTTCAGTGAACAAAAAACCCAGATGAAAGGTTGGGGGAATGAAGAAAAAACTATATAATCAGAGGAAAAAAGAACCCAGAAACATGTGCAGCGATGCACAGATAGAAAGCAAATGGGAGAAACTTATCCATGAAGTGCTGTTGTTCAGAAATAATAAATTGGTAACAGAAAGAAGAGGACAGAATTAAGCCCAGAAAAAATGTCATGTTAAGATTCACATAAGAGAATCAAATCAATAATATCTAGGTTCAGATGTGATGGGGCACCAAGCCTCCCTTTAACAACTTTTCCGCATAGATGAAAAAGAAAAGGCTTTGCAGGGTAGGGAAGTAAAGAAAAACTATGGTTCCTTAATAATCTAGATATTCATTGAGTCTCAATGATAGAACTTAAAAAAATGTTAATCCCACAAAAATGAGTGCGTTCAAGGAGTCCAGATGACTGACATTCAACACTAGCTCATTGAAGAGCATTCTCTCTGGCCACAGAAATATTGAACATAAAATCCTACAATAAATAACATGGTTAACAACTTAACATAGCTGGTAAAACAAGCTATAAGTCCAATTCCAAGAACATATGCACTTGTGCTTTCAACACCACAAGAAATAAAATATTTCAGGAATATATAGTACACTTACATTGTTGAAAAGAGGATTCAGTAATTCCTTGGCATTCGGAGTTGCTATAACACTAAGGTTTGGAGATTTTTCAGAGAGGGGTTTTAAGGTCTTCAAATGGCAGTGATCATCAAGGCTTTGTGTGATGAGTAAATAATTGATTTCAGGAAGATCACTAAGCTGCACTATAGTAGTGAATCAGTTAGAGCAAGCTCAGCCATTAACAAGAGGACAGAAGCTAAAGAAAGAGGTCGTTAGTAAGTAGTAACCCTTTAGCATTTAACAAAACATACCTGGAATTTCTTGAGAACCTTCTTAGCAGCATCATATAGCCAGGGAATTCCAAAATCCAAGTTGCCCACCAAAATTGGATCAACCAAGATGTTTACACCACCTACATTCCACACCCAACTGTTTCCCTAAAAAGGTACTTCACCATGTCAAATAAAACCAAAAGAAGTTAAATTCATGATAAATTTAGAGCAAGAACAAGAAGGCAAGAACCAGTAACCGACCTCTAAGTATGTCAACTTGAAGACATCAGTAGCAGAGAAACTCGATCCAATTGCATTTTCTTCAGATACGACAGCAGAAACAATCCTATCCCACCTGGTAACGAGCTACCTAGTTATAACTTTCAAAGGTGCATAACCATGTTATATTAAAGCCTAGGTTAGTTTATAGGTGATTGATGATAGTAACAGCCATAACCAAAATCTCAGCATGGACTGCTAGATTCATCTAGTTTTTAACCTCAAGTATTAGCAAATATACGGCCATAACCAAAATCTCAGTACGAACAGAAAGACTTTCTTAGCTTTCATCCCCAATAAACTTTAAAAGAACTACTTATTAGTTCTTTCTACGTCTCAAATTATAAAATCAGTAATGAGCAGAAAGGATCATTTCCTCGTTTTCGAGAAGTTTGAATTAGCCAAACAATTCAAGAAATCAAATTACTAGCAGACTCTAACTAGAGGGAATCAGAAAGAAGCACAGGCAAACCTGGAAGTCGATTTGTTTAAAGGCTTCGAATTTGTGCAAACCGAATTGCGAAGACTTGAGGCCAAAGAGGTAGATGGGGAAAAGGTGGTCGATGGTCTTGAGGTGTGAAATGGTCGGCTCAAACGAAGCGAATTGCAGTGTATAGTGGAGGCCATAGCTGCTTCCAAGAGCCTTGGGAACAATTGAGCTCCACCCACAGCAAAGTTGGCTTTGATTCAATGATTTATATCTGACTATGCATGAGCCACTTGTCTGACGCTGACCCGCTATTTTCTCGAGCTGTGAATGTTGTGTTGGCTCAGACTGACCTGAGGTCTCGTCGCTTTGAGGCTCCTCTGCAGGGCCATGTCAAAGACTTTGAGGCTTAAGGTGAAATAAACAGGAGGCTTTATATATATTTTTTCTGTTTAAAAATATAAAATATTTTTAATTAAATTTTATTTTTTAATAAAATAATTATTTATTTTTAAATTAATCTTATCTTTTATATTTATCTTTATTAAACACCCTATAATAAATATAAAATGTTATCAATAGAAGCACTTTTGAAAAAAATAATGATTATATCTCAAAAAATTAAAAATGCTTTACATTTTTTAACATTCAACTCCTCAAAAAATACCTTACATTTTTTAATGGAGAGAATAATAAAATATTGATCATTATATTACTTTTTCTAGCTTTTTGAGATGCAAAATCAAATAACAAAGTTTTGTAATTGAATAATTATAACATTTCGCTCTCGATAGATAATAAGGCTAGTTCATATAATTGATCTTGTAACATATTTGATTTTAAATAAGATTTGAGCAGCTTTAATTTTAAAAAACTTCTTTTTACAGTAGCAACTGTTACAAGTATTATTAATAATATTCTATAAGTAATACATACATCTAAAAAAGTATCTAATCTTTTGACATAGTTTAATATTTCAACTGGTGTGTTAATTTTTTCTATTAATATCTCGCTCAAAAATTTTAATAAATCAAAACCATCAATATCATAATTGTCATTAAAACTTAAGAACTTTTCAATATTAATACAAAATTTTTTCATTTCAGCATCATCCAAAGTTTTAAATTTTTTAGATTCAAATAAAAAACTAAAAATAATTTTATATTTTAAAAATTATTCAAATCGACTCTCAATGAAAAAATTAATTGATCTAAAATGTATAAAAAAATATTCAATATGAAAAGAATCTTTAGTTGAATGTATGATCTCATCACTAATATTTTCATTAAAATGCTTTTTTCTTATGATTTATACAATTTTCACAAAAATTAAGATTTATGTTCATTTTAATGGCCATATTTTTTGTAAATTCCAAAGCAGATGCAAAACCATTTTCTCTATAATTCTTTAAATAAGTAGTAAAGTCTTTTAAATGATTTAAAGCAACATCTATATGCATATCTTTAAACAAAAGAATCTTACAAAATATAGAGAAAAGAATAAAAAATAAGTAATGATTAAATTAAGGCTAACCTAATAATTAAATATGATTTTGGGAACGTGGAAATGCTTTCATTCTTTAATGGGGAGAAGAGTTGGGACTTTATTTTTTCATTTAACATTTACTACAAAATTGTACAACTACATATTCCTTCATACTAAGGAATCCTTTTTTTTTTTTGGCATCCTAGGCAATTGTCTTAGTTGCCTTGAGGCTCCCAGGCCTGCTCGTCTGGATTAATGTTCCCAACTGATTGTGTGTTTCCTCTTTGATGATTGAAGCAACATGGGCGTGTTGTGACTTCAATTTTATCTTCTAAATTTATAATTTTTTAAAAAAATATTTTTATTAATTAGTACACATATTAAAGAGAGTTTATAATTTATAATTTATAATATACTCATTCCTTCTATTACTATTATAAAGCACCTTCTCTAATTTTTTTTACACTCCCTCCGTTCAAAAATGTAAAGTATTTTTTAAAAGTTAGATGTTTAAAAATGTAATACATTTTTAAATTTTTTAAATGTAATCATTACCTTTTTTCAAAAGTGCCCCTACTGATAATGACTTTATATTTATTATAGAGTATTTAACAGAGATAATATAAAAAGATAGAGTTAGTTTGAAAGTAAGTAACTAATATTAGAGGATAAAATTTGATTAAAAATATTTTATATTTTTAAACAGATGAAGTAGTTTTTAATGCAAGGCATATGAAGGATATGAAAGAAGGTTTGCATTTACAATCACTTTAATTAATTTTTTAATCTTTATAATTTCTTAGCTTAAAATTTGAAATCACTCAATTTCTATAATTTCTTTAATTTCTCAATGCAATAAATTAAAGTGGTTGAATTATAATGAGTTAAAACTTAAAAATTAAATAAATAATAAATAATTAAAAGAAAATTTATAATTGCATGCTATACAACTTATATTTTTCTCATCTTTAATTTTCTAATTGAGTCCATTTATTGAATTAAGTTAAGAGACAAAGCAAAATAGTATACCCGATTGCCAATCATGTGAGATTGATTTGAAAAGAAATATGTTGCCTCTACCAACATGTTTTCCTTAAGAATAATCATTTAACTTGTATTATAAATTAGCATTGTTCATTGAGTGACTCTGCTTGCATTCCAATACAATTTTTTCAAAAAAAAAAAGAAAAAATAACAATAAAATCTTTTAAATTACATAAATAATTATTTCGTCAGTTAAAATATTATAATTCCACTGAAACCCCTAAGAACTTCTCTTTTATTAATGAATTTATGTAAATGACCTAATTGCTTTTATTAAAAATAAAATGATCACAAGTTTTATTTAAATAATTATAAATTTTCTTTCTATATTCACAATAATGTAACAACAAATTATAACTTTACATGTCAAAATCCTAATATTGCTATAAGTGTTAAAAATAATAAATAATAATCACAAATTTTGTTTAAATAATTATAATTTTTGTTTTTATATTCACAACAATACAACAATAAATTATATAATTTACATGTCAAATACTTGATATTGTTTCAAGCGTTGAAAATAACAAGTAATGATCAAAAATTTTATTTAAATAATTACAATTTTCTTTCTTATATTTACGACAATACAACAACAAATCACAAATTCACATGTCAAATTTTTGATATTATGATATTTCGAGAGACCAAATTGTCATTTATATAATTCACAATTGAAGCAAAAACAAGAGAGGGAGGGGGAAGTTGGAAGAGTGGTACTCTAATTATCAACTAATTCACAACAAACAGACTTGTTTTTCTCGAAACAAGTAACACCAGCCAACTTGTTTTTTTCCCTCAAAAAAGGCAACACTAACACGAGTTGACTTTGAAAGTTGATTTCCATTAACCTAATGTTTTTTGGAAGTAAAATAAAACAAATGGTTGGTAATTCTCGAAGGGTAAAGTATTATGCTTTAATATTGCGGGCAGCCTAAGAGAAAGTATATCTATTGCAAGTAAATTATGCTTCAAGGAATATAACCAGAAATGTGTTGGGATTTGCACAACTTTTTCATGGAACTCAATCCTATCAAAATTTTTAACCTACCAAACTTGAGAGAAAACTTAAGGAAGAAACATCAAATTCTTGATGAGCCAGGACCAGTTTTAGGCAAGGCAGACACAGGTATAATTTATATAACTTCCTCTACCTTGCTATCTTAAAAGAAAGGTGTCTCTCCCATCTTTTTGGACTATAAGGTATGGAATCGACAATTTTGCTACCTTGGGGCAATGGTAACTCAATTTCTGAAGGGATCTTCTCATGCCAAACAAAATTGTTCTCACGTACAAATTTTTGGAGCACCTCAGAAGCATTGTGAATTTCCTTCTCAAATACAGATTTCCATTTTGTATCACCCCATACGTTCTTTTTGACCTTGCTCAATTCAGACTGAAGAACTCCGATGGCAGCCCCCATATGATCGGAAGCCTTCAGACTTTCTGCATGGTATCGCTGACCTCTCAACGCATGTAGGGATTTGCAGCAATGAATAAATTCCTGCATATGAGAAAGCCCACCAGTGAGAAAATGAAGAAAAGATGAATTTTTTTTTTCTTTTTTGGGGGGGTTTGGAATTTCATGGTCTAAACAAAAATGAAAGCATTGGGCGTCAGAATTTCCTGTCCATAGGTGTTTCCCAGCAGGAGTGAGGATTGGGAGGGAATTGAATGGCATTCTATGTTAAAGGCCGTTGGCTAGTTGCCTCTCCTTAATTAAAATTCACGAAAATGGTAAAATAAATGTTATGTATGTATGTATGTATGTATGTATGATTTATATCTTCATCTCTACAATAATCCCAACACTTTCTCGAAACATTCTATGAAAAAGAGTATTTCAGTTGGTTGTTAGTGAAAACCTAGCAAGTATCAACAGATTACACCTTCACACTCATTCCAGTGCAATCCTCTTTATTCTCAGTCTCACCTCTCCCATGAACACAACTTAGTCTCCAGGGGGAGGGATTAAAATGAATAAATGAAGGGAAAAAAGAACACATGAAAATAATTATGTAATTTCTCAACCACAATCTTGTTTTAATATTTAAATTTAATGGATGGAAGAAGAAATTGTATATCAAAGAAAAATATGAGTATAGTAGTGTGAAAGACGAGGGCATATAGGATGCACTCTGGAAGAAATAAATATATGATTCTATCTGCTCTTACCAATCGAGCAAATTCCTTAGCATAAGGACTAAAACTGCTAGTTCAGATTTAGCTTAACTGGAATATATACCGTGAATTAGATTCAGATTTCAGACAGTACAAAGATTTGCACTAATATGGAAAGACAGGTAAATTCTAATAGGGAAAATATGAAAAAAATACCATTAAGTTTGGTGCAATGTCTCTTCCCTTTCTTAGAGAAGTCTCTAAAACCCCACTTGCTTCGTCAAGAAACTGTGTAACACCGTGATGCAGCTTCGCTAAAAGACTTGAAGAATTACCGTTCTCTTCAGCCTTCCTTGTTGCTACTGCCTATATTAGATATTTATAACATTATCAACCACTAGAAGTAAAAATTTCCCATCTTCTTCAGATGGGAAAATTAATTTGAAACAATTTAGAAATAATATGACTAACCGAGTTTCAAGATATGACCAAGCAATTTATGATATAGAACTAACAAAAAGTAGCACCAGTAACACCAACCTGTGCTTCAGCCAAACAAATGAGGCTCATGACAGTGGAGACAGAAGGATGAGTTTCTGGTGGCGCTCCTGGTGCCCACACAGCCATTAAGCTGGGAAGAACATTAAGTGCCAGGTGATGATAAATACCAGCAGCTTCTCTAAAAGTGGTGGCAGATTGGACCAAATCTATAACAAAACAAACACCTTATAAATAAGTGTAATCAATGAAACAAGTAAATCATCATGGAGAAGGGAATCTTAATGCATACCTGTTGATAAAACTTCTAAAGCCCTCTCCCTTAGGATTGCACCATAAAGAAAAAGGATCATGCCAAGCTCGAACAGCAAATGGTCAATCTGGAAAAACTTCGTACTCCTAAAGAGGTAAGATGGGCTTAGAGCACTACTCCAGCGTATCTTAAGAGAGGCATCCAATTGATGCATTTGCCTATTTGTGATTTCTTCATTATGTAAACATAGATTTTCCAACAATGGGAGATACTGTGTTATTCTGTGAAGATCCTGATACAGGCCAAAATAAAATGAATAAATGGCATTCATACAGAATGGGAAGAATTCATCAATAGAATTCATCAATATTCCTAGAAATTAAAAAATGTGGCAAACAATAGTCATTTCAATTTTGTCAAAAGACTCAACAGTTTTGGTCAGAGAAGTGATTTCATACTGTGCCATTGCCAGAAAGATACGCAAAAACAAAAGTTCCAACTCCGTGAGGTCATTCCTGAAGTCATTGTCCATAAAAGATTATATTTAAAAGCATTGGCACCACCAAAAAAATTTCAAGAAGATTACAGTACTAATTTGCTTACATTCACCTCAAAAGTTCATGTGAAATTTCATTTTAAGAGTGTAATTTGCAGACATTACCACTTAAAAATAAATTGAAATCAAGGATCCAAGATTATTGTCATTTTCATAGTGTGCTAAGTAGAAGGTTCCTTACAAAAAGAACATGAAGTTACCTGTTCATGACAAGATACCAACCCTCCAGACATTTCTCTTGCTATAGCTTTTGTAATGGAACTGCTCTCATTGATAGACTCTTCAATTGCTCTGCGCCTTGAGCTTAACTCCTTGAGTTGTTCAAGTGTAGCAGAATCATGTGCAACATATACATCCTCAAACACAATCTGTCAACATGAAAATCTGTAATGAGTGCCACTGTGCCAGAAATTATCAAGAAGATACTGATTATATTATTGATAAAGGTTATGTATACTGATAGGTAAACAATAAATCAGTTCCATAGTGACAAAATATATAGACTAAAGAACTACTGCAAGCAAACACTACAAATCTTCAATATCAAAGCATTAAGAAAACAGTACCATATATTTGTACCTTCAGTAATAGGTCAGTCCTGTCCTCAGCCATAGTTGTTTAGGTAAACATAAGTCAAAACGTGACAAAAGAGAGTATAATTAACTTTTAAAAATACAAGTTGCCAATTATTCTTTAAAATTGGGAGTTTAGTCTATGCTGCTTTTAAGGGAGAGTCATTAATCTGGACCGCAGCTCCCTAGAGGATTATAATATAAAAATAAACAATTACTGCTAATCCTTAAACAGCCATTCCCTTTGAATGTGTCATTATAATGAATAGTTCAGATACAAATTCCATATACTTCTCAAAATATTGCTGTTTTGAGGAATAAAAAGTTTGGTGTAATGGAGAACACAGGTTGCGCCCTTGATCTTTTGAAGGCTTTCTTGCTGCAAGGTTTATAGATAGGTTTATAAGGAAAAGGCAATGTGGAACTTTCTCGATATCAAGGTGCATTTAGTTAACAAGGATTTTTTTTTTTTTTTTGGGGAATCTTTCTAGTAGGTTTGATTTGAAGTCCTCTTAATTTACTGTGCTCCTCTGTTTTGTGATTTTCATCTGAGGATATCTTGTCCCCCTATTTTGACATTCTTTTCTTGCCTTCTATTCTTTCTTCCACAGAAAAAACTAAATACAGACAAAATTTTGGGTTTTGAGATCCAAAAGAAAAAAGAAAGGAAATTATAAGCAAGCAGAAACTCAATCTGCCAGTACAGATGCACTTTATGGGACCAAGCTTAGCCTCATACTTCTTTTTCCTTGTTCTTAAAGGCTATATAGAGACGCTAATTCCAGTGAAAGGCACTGGCAAGTAAGGACTGAAGTTATCAAATTTGAGTGTGAATTGTTTACGTCTTACTTTATCAGTTGTATACCATCAAGCATCAACCGAACTAACGCGATGGTGCCTAGAAAAGACTACGCTTTTTCCTTTCGGTAAAAGAGAAGAAGGACAAAGCTTACAATATGCACGTGAAAATTTAGATACAAACAAATAAACAAAAAAATCCAAATAAACCCCATAACGGAAAGTAGTACCTTCTTAGTCTTCAGCTTAGAAGGCTGTTCAAAATGCAGCATCATCTTTGACACGATCAGTTCCTCACACCAACAATATCCAATTGATTAAACAAAGGACAAGTGAAAGCAATCCCAACGCAGTTCGCTCTCACCAGTGTTAAGAAAACCCAAATTCGTTAAAGCTCTCAAATTTCTCAATTCACAGCTCGCTCCATAAATATTTTCAGAGTCCAAATTCTTTTGAATTCGAAACTCTAGTCCGAGTCGTACTGAAATATCTTCAGGCGGATAGATCGCATAAATATAGCAGAAGAGTGTGTAAAAATCATCGGCATATGAGACCTTTCCTCACATATCCGTGTATAATGCGAATTGTGGCTTTGGGGTTCCCAATCGCTATCATTATCATTATTTTCTGAGATAAATAATCCTTAAGCAATTTACATAACCCTTCTTTTTCGTTGAGTTTCCTTAGCCAACAAGGTTACAAGAAGGAGTGGGAAGGGCTACCCGTGTGGGGCCACCCTCGTTTTGGGTTTTGGACTGGTTTCATTCCTTGACACTTGATTTGATATGCGTTTTATTATAATTATTTAAATTTAATTAGAATTAAAAATTGAAAAAAAATTAACTTCTACTTCATTTATTAAAAAATATAAAATATTTTTAAGGGGTTGAATATTTTTAAATTTTTTAAATATAATTATTATTTTTTTTAAATATTTTTATTGATAAATAACTTTATATTTATCGTTGAGTGTTTAATAGAGATAAATATAAAAAAATAATATTAATTTAAAAGTAGTAATTAATTTATTAGGATTGAGATTTAATTAAAAATATCTTACATTTTTAAACGGAGGGTAACTATTATCCTTAAATTAATATTGATCCCCCAAGATGATAACCAAATTCCCATGGGTTTGAGAACCAAAAATGCTTATCTTTTTTCTTCTCAGCTTCAATAAAAATGATTATCCAGCATGTCTAGTATGCATTTGAACAATTTGAATCTTATATTATTTTTAGTAAGTTTAAAATTTTTAATTTTAAAATAAATTAAATACAAAAATAAATGTTAAAAATTTAGTTAAAATTAAAAAGTTGAAATTTAAATCATACAAATGAAATTTAGATAACTTTTAACTGTCAAATTTAGAGAATTCAAACACTATCACAAAGATAAACACAATGTCCTAATTCTTCCCCTCTCCCCACAAATATCCTAATACTTAAAATAAATAAAGAATGTGTATATCATTAATAAGGCCAACTACTCTATGACTTTGACTTAGATCCATAAAAAATAAAGAATATTTCATAAAAATTGTGGTTTTGACCCTAAAATTATGATTTCAATATTATGAAGAATTAATTTTAAAGTTAATTTTTAGTCCTCCCATGAGAATACGCTAATAAGTGGGAGGCATGTATCCTTTCCTCTTGGGGTGGGGTGATTAATTTTTAATTGAAATATTAAATAAGGGACGAGTTATCCAAATCATTAGAAACTTACATTCAGCACCGTCTTTAGTGTCCTTTCGGGCTAATCATCATTTTTTGGTAATTAAATTAGATTTTTTAATAAAAAAATTGAACTACTAATCAAAAGAGAGTATACAAACTAATAATTAATGGTAAATGATGCCCTCCAGAGTAAAGTTTTGAGGTGATTGCAACCTCCTTTTTTTTTTCTAAATATATTGTGCGTGTATATATTTTACTACAAGAGATATTGTTATATTTTTTATTATTTTTTATAAGAAAAAATACAAATTTCAATAAGCATTTTTTACATTCTTTTTAAATTATTATTTCATAAATGATAGTATCATTAAATTAAAGAAAACAAGTAAATATTAATTGCAAAAGTATTTTAGTTCAGACTTTTTGATTTTTGACAAAGTTATTAGAATTAATTAATTCCTTAAACTGTATAAATTAATTATTTTTCTCTTATATTTAAAAATGGAGGAAGTATATCAATAATTAATACTCCATGTGGTCTTTAATATAAGATAAAGTTAACAAACTTTATACTTATTAAAAAATATTCACTCATCTCAATTTGTAAGATATTTTTACACATACTAATAAAATTTATTAAATAAATTTTATAATCTTATTTTTTTAAGATAAAAAAATAAAATTTCAAAACTGCCCTCCAATTAATACTTCATTTATAAAAGAATATTAAATAGAGAGAATATAATTGAAAGAGTAATATCAAAAAGGATAGGACTTGTGTACCAAGCGTTATATATTTAATAAAATTAAATCATAGCAAAAGGGTCTTAATATGTTGATAAAACTAATAACAAAATTGATTATAGAATAAATAATCTAGAATTATATGTCTCGATTTAATTAAAATAAAACATTAAGCATATAAAAATTAAATATATAAGTTTTCTCTTATTAAAAAAATATTATTAATAAAATTTTATTATTATTAAAATATCTTATATTTTGAATTGTTAAATATTTTTAAAGTGTCTTGTAAATTATAACAAAAGGAGTATTAGTTATAATTTTTCAGTTTTACATATAATTAATGACTACAATAAATTGTCATTTTGAAATTCAAATGACAATAAATATATGAAAGGGTAAAAGTGAAAGAAAGCGTTAATTATTCTACTTCATCTTATATTTAAAACAAAAAAAAAAATTTCAAACTTCATCATGTATTAAGGATTGGAGTAATAAATACTAGTAGTTATCCATAGTTAATAAATTGTTCTAAAATTGTCAGTGGCTGTCCAAACAAATATGCATCAGGAATCACGCAACAGAGTGTTCATGATTCATTACGGAGAAACAACTTTTTATATTTAATATTAAACTAAATTTTACTCTTTCGTGTACGGGACATTAAAGAACTAAAAGTAAATTAATATTTTCTCTATCTTAATTTAATTATAAAATATTTTTGACAAAATTACACGTATAAAAGAAATTTGTTAAATACAATACAATATAATCTTAGTTTTTCTTTAAATTTTTAAAAATATTTTTCATTAATAAGAGAGATGAGGAAAATATATTTAAGAAGTAACATAATGAAAGTAGTATTGAGATAAACATTGTTAATGAAATTTTATTTTTTTAAAAACATCTTATATTTGAGAACCCAAATCACCTTAAAAATATTTTGTAAAATGAGACGGGGAATATTGAGTATTACAAATATAAATGGAGAAACTTGTTAAAGCTAAACTTATTATTAATGACAATGATAAAAACATGTTATTCGCGTCAAAAATAAAATAAAATAGAAAGAACTTTTTAGACTAAAAGAGAGAGAAGCTTAAAAAAGGAAGTATCCTATAGAATGATGTTACACACACAGCACACACATAAGTTAAAAAAGAACTATAATTTTTTTTTTTGAACGAAAACAGACCAATTTTATTAATATCAGCAAAAATCAATTACACACACTAATCAGGAAAGCAAAAAGGAAGCAGTAAATCTAACATACAAACTAAAAGAAAAAACAAAACGAATACACAATAAAAAAAAAAACAAAAACAACAACAAACAAAAACATCACAAAACAGAAACAAATGTTAACCAATACCCTTTTTCTTCACAGCATCAGTGTTTCTGCTACAAAGATCCTTCTGCAGAACCAAATTCAAGGAGGATGGTGGCTTACAAAGCCATCCTTGCAGTACCATACCTCCCATAACGAGCTGCCATATGATTAGCAGCATCATTGCCTTTACGCGAGACAAAAGACAAAGACCAACTTGCATCAGATCTACTCATAGCAAAACACTTTTACAACAGATCATGACATGCCCACTCACAACCAGCAGCATCAAGATTCTTGACCCTCCTATATAATTCTTGACAATCAGTCTCAATGATAACATTTCCATCACTAAAAATATCCTTCATCTCAAGAGCCTCACCAATGCCAAACACTCAGTCATAAAGCTGACTCAGCTTGCACCAACAGCCCCACAACAACAACAACACAACAACAACAAGACCTTTATCCTACTAGGTGGGGTCGGCTACATGGATTGCAAGACGCCATTGTACTCTATCATTTATCAAGCTTTTTAGAATATTATTAATTAAGAGATCGCGTTCAACAACTTCCAAGAGTATTCTCTTAGGCTTTCCTCTACCTCTCTTAATCAGACTCAAAATTACCATCTTCTTACTTACGGTGCCCCTCCCTTGGTCTTCTTTATACTGCCCAACCATCTCAACCGATTTTCCTACTATTTTTTCCTCAATAGGTGCCACCCCTCACTTTTTTGCATACGTGCTCATTTCAAATTTTTTTCTTTGCGTGTATCGCGCATATCCATCGTAGCATTCTCATCTCTGCTACTCTAACTTTATGCTCTTGCTATCCCGTTAGAGCCCAGCATTCACTACTATATAACATTGCCGGTCTGATAGAAGTGCGATAAAACTTTCCTTTAAGTTTTATTAGGCACCTTACGGTTGCAAATAAACTCCTTTAGCTTTTCTCCAATTAAAACCACCCAGTACCACAGCCCCACAACTCCCAAAAAATTTCCTTCAGAATCCCTACCCATCTCCTACTATCAATATGAAAGAGCCATCTATATTAATCTTATCATCTAATCACCCCCATCTCAAGTTTCTCTCACACAGATGCCTTTCAGTGACAGCAGCAGGCCCACGCAATTCATCCTTTTACATAAACCACCCCAAAACTCCTCAACTAACCCTAAAGCCTTAATCAGACATAAAATCAGGCTTAATATCAACATCTTCAAAATAAAAGCACACCTAGCTTTCCATATCACCCAACAGATTGCAACAAAAACAGCCAATTCTTCAAACTCATCTCCTCTAAACTTGCAAAACAAAAACTCATCTAACCACCTACCAAAACGACTCATACCAACCAGATCAACCTTCAATGCTAGAGGAGATGCAAACCAACATGTCTAACCCAGGGACAGAAAATAGCACATGTTCAACAGACTCAACATGTGAAGGATAGATAGGACGCAAAGGATCCATGCACACTTTCTCTTGAATAATGCTTCTCCAGTAGCCAACACACCACTTGCAGCCTCTCTACACAAATGAAGAACCTTTGGAGGAAGCTTTATCTTCTATATATTCTTCCATAGCCCTTTTGAAGCTTTATAAGAGCCACCCGAATCTTTTTTCCCCTCCCTAAAAAGCCAAATCCATTGCCATCTTATAACCTCTTCTCACAGAGTAAATGCCATCTTTATTTTTCAAACCACACTTACTTATCTTCAGTACTCACAACAGGGATTCTGATACTAGAAATTAATTCTATATCAGACAAACTCAAGCAATTCTCAACTCTGGAAAAATCCCATTTTTCACATCAGAAATAATCTCTTGCACTTTAATCTCTTCATCTCATTTGTTAAGCTTCTCTTCTCAAGACATCTACTAGGTGCAGATAGAATCCACTGAT